AAGAGACACAGGAAAGAGACACAGGAAAGAGACACAGGAAAGAGACACAGGAAGGAGACAACGACAAGAAGGATAACCAGAACGGAGGAGTAAGGAAAGCGGAAAACAGCAAAAAGTAGAGAGTAAGTGAGTACTCACCAGAAGAATGGAAAAGAACGGGGTCCGGAAGGCCGGGAAATAGAAAAAAGAAAGAACAGTGAGGCAAGGGATAGACAAGTAGGAGAAGGGATCACAATAGCGATATGGAAAGCGACAGATGAAAAGAGGTAGACAGGGGAATAGGGAAAAGCGAAAGCTGAAAAGGCAAAGGGGAAGCACATACAAAGAGAGACAGCAGCGAAGTGAGAAGTCGAATTGATTGAGAAACGGAAAGAAAGGATGCAGGAATCGGGGGAGGAGGCAGGAACTTATACTTGTTTCGAAGCACCTTTCAATGCCAGAAAGAAAAGTCTATGGATACTTCAGGTCGGAAATCCCAAGATCAGATCAACGGATACATTATGGCAGGACGAATAGTAAGTTCATAAGGAAATTGATCTTACTCGATGCTGTTAATGGGAAGCCGTTATTGGGTCCCATTGACCGGCCATTGTAGAGCCCGCTTAACCTTCATTACTATACGCGCAGCAAGGTTTCTTTCCAACGTTGGGCAAAGTAAGAGTGTAATAAGGCGGAAGTAGTAGAGAGGGTGGGGTGGAAAAGAGTGCAGAAGTACGGTACGCAAGGCTGAACAATATCACGTTAGTGGAGACGGTGGACCTGTCATACTGTGGAACAGCCAGTCGCAGGCTTGACCGTTGAGAATCCGGGCAAATATTGCGCGAAACGATTGCGAGTCATATGCAAGTCATTTAGTTTTACGGTGAAATGGGACCAGGTGGGCAGATCACTTGAGTGTATTGACCGTTTTCTGTCAACTCGAGCCAGTCATTTGCTTTCCTCCATTGCTTTCATGTGGATGACCTGCTTTGATCGCCCGTAGAGATCCACCATTGTTTCCCATCGCTCAGGCATACGAGCGTCCCTCCGATCTCGACCTGTCCTTCTTTGCCTTTGCGAAGTCCCAAGAATCCCACAGATGCATACAATCCAAAACCAAAACTCCTTGCAAATTTTCCCTGCAGAGATTTTGTGGGCGAGTTTCTCAAGCCCTCTCTGCCCTGAGCATGCCCATTCCATTTCCATCCATAGTGTACAGTACAGTCGAAGTCCCAAAATTCCCAAAATTCCATTCAAGCCCTCTTTTGTAGGGCCCTTTCGTCGAAGGGAGTTGCATTGCAACCCAATAGTGTACAAGACAACACAAGTTGTCAAAAATTCTTTTCCGATGACTCCATTGCTAAAAAGCACAGTTGAATGGCATAAGTCGTAAATGCATTGTAGTCGTAGCCTGGAAAAGTGTCAGACAGGCATTGTTGTTGTGGTGCACCTCGTGTTGAGGTGGCTTTGGATGTGTGTTTGTCGATAGCGTGCTCCTCAGTATTCAATGACCGAGTTCGATGTGCGAACGTTGTAGGTCATGTACTGTCGATGGAGTGCTTCGAATTTGCAGTCACAAGTAGTGGCTTGATGTTGATGATTGTTGTTGCCGATGCCCTCACCAGGATTTGAACCCGGATTCGAGGTTGCAACAATGGGGTCAGCTTAGCATTTGACGACGGTGCCTTCACCAGGATTTCAACCCGGATTCGAGGGGACACCAGTCATGCCACTCCTTCATAGCCCTGCTTGCGCAAGCGCCGACTCTCAATCGGAGTGCAGGAATTCATTCCATGCCACGTCGCGCAGAGGGGGGAGGGCCTCGTCAACGACGGCCCCATTGGACGGATCCGAGTACGTTGCGTACCCAGAGTCCGTTGATGGTATTGCCATAGGTACCATCGATGACAATGAGGACGGAGGCTCCCAACTCTGGTCCAGCATCGCGGTGAAGTCGACGTTGTTGAGGTCGACGTCGTTGAGGTCGAAGTCTTGTACACCCAGTGGGGCCTGGGCTGGCACCGACATCTCAGGGACCGGCCGCCTTTGGACCGGGTGCTGTACTTGCGGCCAGTAAAGGACCGCGTGCTGTTGGGCCTCGGGCTGTACTTGCGCCAACCGGAGGACGGGCTCTACTTGCGCCCACTCGAGGACGGGTGGCTCTTGGGCCGGCCGCTGGGTGGGCGTCTGTGCCGCTGCCAACTGAGGCTGTTGGCTGGCACCGACCACATCAGCGACCGGCAAGGCCTGGCCATTGCCGTTAGCATTGGCGGGAGGGATGGCGCCGCCCGCACCAGGATTGGCTTGCTCCTTGTGAGCCTCTATATGCCGTTTGAGGTTGTCACGGCGGCTGAATTGTCGATGGCAGATCCCGCAAGGGTACCTCACGCCCTGGCATCTTCTCTGGTGCCTGCGGAAGTTTGAAGGGTCGGCTCCCAGACGCTTTTGGCACATTGGGCACTGTTTAACAGTGTCGGCCATTCTGACTGTATCTCTGGGTGTCGGAGAGATATGTGGGGAGGGTGACAAGGTGCTATCGTAACGGTTAACTTTCTGTTGCACACCGATACAAACAAGCACAGTTACTTACATCAAGTGATGGGAGGATGCTGTTGTCAACGAGAAGCTTGTGGGTGACAAGCTCCTGATGAAGAGTGCTGGTGTTGAAGAGGGAGTGTGTCTACGCTTGTGAGGTCGATGTCAAGAGTGTTGCTGTTGCTGTGTGTTGCTGGTGGTCGACGAAATTGATGTATCAAGCGTAGATAGGAAAATGAAACGGGGGGCACAGAGAGAGAAAGGGTTAATATACCCAGAACACCCTCCGAACATATTGTCTTCTGGGAGTTTCAATTTACGTATCCAACGGTTGAATCATGCAATGCCATGGTTCGCAGCCTGTGAGTAAAACGGTTCACTTTCGATATCGTAAAAGGAGCAAGGGAAAAAGCTTAACAAGTGCAGGAAATCATCGCCGTCGGAAATTCCGCTCGTATTAGTGTAAGAGGGACTCGAGGTACCACTAACGGGCGAGGATGCGGAGACCCAACGGCCACTCAGCAGCCTAGACAGAGCAGGTTCAGTTTCAGATCAGATCGGATCTTGACACCCCGGAGATCGGTAGTACAGCGCTCTATTTGCACAGTCATGGGGCGTTCATCGACCAAAGAAGTGCTTGGGGCACCGCCAGCGTAAACGGCGTAAACGGCGAAGCCAAACTCTTAACCGTCCAGTAACTCTCTGTCAACCTGACTCACCCCTAGTTGTGGTGGTGTCCCAAGCTCGTCAAGGCTTGGGACGGATCTGCATTTCTCTGTCGCACTGGTCAGAGAGGAGGCTAGGCATGAAGAAGGCCATTTCCGTTGATAAAAAAGGTTCACCTGTTTCACTGCAGCCTTTGGATTGAGAAGACCAGATCAACGTCTGTGTAATCTGGGACAAGGGCATTATGCCGTGAAGAATTTTCATTCTCAGACCGGGGGGTTCGTGACCACCCCTTCGTAGCCGTATCTCGAAGTGTAGCTAATCCATCATTACCATTCAAGAATGCACTGATTTAACGTAGCATCCCACACTTGAAATGTTGAAATCATTGCACTCTCCTTGTGACAGCGATGATGCGAGAGCACTTTGTTATCGACCATGATGAGGTGCTACCCCGTCGACGCGCTGGTAAAATTCCGGTGGAGTGTCCATGGTACCATCAGTTGCAGCCAAACCGTGCAGCGACGTAGACGCAGCCAGTCACCGGTACTGTTACCCGTGCCCCAAGGTATCAGGCATCAAGCCGCGATGCCGGGTCATACGGATCTTCCTTTACCAATTTGCCGCTCTTTTCCACCTGACTCGAGACTCTGGTCTGAAAGTTTGTGAGTAGGCAGACGTAATTACCACTTACATTACTAGCGTAAAAACACGACCTTATTCAAAGAAAGTTACTCCAGCATCTTTAAGCATGCTGACAATCGAGCAGACAGGTTGCAAGATATTTTGAGGGAAAAGGAGGTAATCTTGACGTGCAAATTGAGTGTAGAGAAAACCGTTGCGCGGATATCATTTGCAGCAAATCAGATACGCGAGAAGTGTGCGCAAAGAGGATGCAGATAATCACCCCAGAGTTTGACAGTTCAAGTTCTCCGAATTTACACTGTGTCGGGCTGTCGGCTGGTGCCAAAATTACAGCACCAGCACCATACTGTACCTGGGTTTGCCAAGCTAAACTCGTTTAGTCTTTAGCCAAACGATGTTCAAACGTCCCTCTTAGGATATATTGCACCGATAGCAGACGCCTACGCGCCCTCTCTTCGCCGCCCCACGCCTGCACAAGTTCAGAAGAAAATTCCACTCAGTCACCATGGGAAATCTTTGTTCCAAATCCGCCAATCAACCGGATAATTTCTCCAACCCTGGGCGAACTCTGGGAGAAGACCCTCAGACGAGATCGGAACCTGGTCCCCGACCTCGCAACTTGACCGCAACCACGCCTGGTCGCACACTTGGTGCAACTGAGGGTCCCCCAAGTCCCGATGATGCTCGGAGTGCGGCGGCCAGAGCTGCCGAGGTGAGCATCTAGTCCTGCACTCATATTGTTGCTCGAGCCAGAATTCCCAGCTGGCCTCAGATCAGAAGTAATCTACGTTGTGTCGTAGTGCTGTACTGATTGTGACATACAGGAACGTGCTGCAAAAGCCAACAAGTCTGGCGGCAAGCTTTCCGCCCAACTGTCCGAACAGAAAAAGCAGACTCAAAATCAGCTACTGAACTCTGGCTCTGAAGCCGAGCGCAGAGCTCGTGATGCGGATCAAGGTGCACAAGCCCGTAACTGGAACTGAGACTGAGCCAGAAGAGAGTTCAAGTTTGCGACGCGTAGAGTGGGTGTGCGAAAAAGCCAATGCAGCCTGAAACAAGCGCCGTTGAGAACCGTTGGATACCTCAACTTTGAAAGTCTTCTGCGCGGGAAGCTCTTCCTTACGCTGGATCAGTGACTCAGTCGGGGTTTGCATTGTTGTGGATGACATGGTTCGCGCAAGGAAGGTTGCTGCAAAGTATGAATACAGTGGGGACGGAAGTTGCTCACAGTATGAGTATGGGACGCAGATCCGCGATGCCATGGTGGGATGGATGTCACGGGGTATGAGAAGAGTCTGCCAGTGTGTCCGCGGTGAGAAATCATGAAGGTGTGCCCTTGCAGTGATGATGTCTGATGGGATCTGAAAGAACTGAGCAAGGAATTGATTTCGACGATTTTCGGTGCATATTACGATTGTTGGATTGCAGGTAAAGTCCCCGGGATCTAGATTGAGCGGTATTTGTTATTTACAGATGTGTATGGGAAGACGGCAATGGTGGTAAGATCACAAGGGCAGTTTACACAGCGTAGAGCAAGGGCTATGGGTGCAGAAATCAACTTTGGGGCTCTAAACGTTAGCCGCCATGTACCTAGGGTGGTATGCAATGGTGGCAGCGGTATTACGAAACGGCAGCCTATAAGCGCCTACGAAACCCACGAACACTCCCTAATCGTCCTTTCTTCGGTGCACTGAAGACACTAAAGACTTTGCATGCTATGAGCATTCAGACGAAGAAGACCTCTTGCTGCGAACAGTGTGTTGCTTTTGCCTTGTCCCATCCGCCTCGATCTTCTACCTCCGGAAACAATGCTCTATATCCCAGGACGACTATGTCCATCTTGCTGACTACACACAGATGCGAGTGGCTGTTCCTATCTGTCTCCCACACAATCGATAGCTCGTCCCTCCGTACTCTTCCATGCGAGTTCCACAGACTCCCATGACCTGGCTACTTGCTATACACGGTACACCTCCAAGCATGTACAACTTACCGGCCCGACGAAAGACCCCGTCCTCGACATTGTCTTCCCCATGAATGAATGATGCAAATGCTATGAATCCTTGGGCTGATCACTTCTCCTGGATCTCTTCGCAGATGTCCTTGTCCTTGTCCAAGACTCCAAGCCTCTACACATTCCAAAAAGTTCTTACAGAAAGAGAAGGATTCGCTCTGTTACAGTGATCCCTGTCATGGCCGCGAGTTCTCTTTGTCAAGTACCCTTGCTTGCGATACAAAGCGCTATATACAGAATGCATCAAGCTCGCGGTCAAGTTCTAGGGACTTCACAGAGAGGTCAAGGAAGCAGGAACGGGTGGAACAACAAGGTCATAGCATGAGACATGCCAGCAACATGTTGGAGTATTCATACGGTCGCATCAGCCTTTCAGACTACTGGCTAGGCCCGATCTGTGAGTCTGGATGCAATTTTTGGATCCTTGATCTAGGTTCTTCTTTCTTTCTAGAAAGACCAGAATCAGGGCTGAACAAGGCGAAGATGGAGACGCGGGCGCGATCGAAGAAAACGTGGAAATCGAAATCAATTCATGAAAAGCCACCAGTCAAGGTAAAGTAAAGAGAACCAGTCTTGGAGAAAACGCTGCAAGAAGATGGCTCGAAGCGCATGTAGCACAACGATCGGAGCTAACGAGGACCTGAAGCAAATGCGGTGACCGAAGGAGGAATAATACGAACAGCAAGGGTGCCAAAGCAGGAAGAGAAAAGAGGCTCTGCAACTTCTAATTTTCCAGATCTTGCCTGATCTTTACGGAGGGCGCCAGCTGCACAGTACGGCATTAGGATAATCTGTCATGGTGCGCACACTCACCAACACCTATTGTTCTTCCTTTCCTCCGAAGAGTCTGCCGTAACTATGCTGAACTTTTGGTGCTTTTGCAAAGGAACCCTCCCAGCATCAAACATCAGCCTGCCTGTGTGTTGCACAGGGTGGCCTCCAGCTCAAACCCCGAACGCCGGACGCTATGCTAAGCGATGCTAATTACAGGTCATGGTAAAATCTCGAGTCTGCTCACGGTGCATCACGCGTGGCTCGTGTCTCTTTACCATCTTTCTCATCGTACTTCATCGTACTTCATCGTACTTCATCGTACTTCATATGAGTTCACTCCTCCTTGCCCTCATTTGGCAGCAAGTTTCCTCTGACGGCGAACATCTTTCCAGTCGTTCCAGCAACGAATCCATCAACCTGGCGGGCGTATTGCTCGGCTTGTCTGCTGTTCAGCATGCTCTCCAAGCGACTTGGTTCAGTAGGCAGCTTGAACAGTCTCTGCCACTCATCCTCCGGCAACGGTGGCTGCTTCGAGAGAGCTCTTGCAGCATTCTCGGCCTTGCGCTTAGCTTGCCACTGCTGAATCTTAGCCTGCTCTCTGGCCAGGGCACGTTGATAGTACGAGAAGTTGTTGGCTTCGACATGGTGAGTCTCGATCGAGTCGAGGAGATTGTCGGCAGTTTGCGAAAGATAGGGGTCAATATTAATCGAAAGACTCTCGAAGCTGGGAGCGAGGGTGTCGTTCTTGACAATCGGGTTGCTCTCGATTTCGTCGACAGAGGTTGGTGGCCTCATGACGCCGGATGCGAGAAGCTTGGGAATCTGGTGGAGGAAGGTAGTGACCAGGTGGTTGTTGTGGACAGTGACGGGAAGTTCGACCAGGATGTCAGTGTACTTGAGACCGGACTTGAGAAGCCTGTTCGTGGTTAGTGAGACTCAATTTGCACGAGTATTAGAGACATACTTCTCGGTGGTGAAGTTGTTTTCCTTGTAGGCGGCCATGAATTGAGAAGAGAGTCTGAAGGCGCGAATGCTGAGGAGACCTTGCGAGCTGCGGCTCACATCATGGACAAGCGCGACAGTCTTCTCGTTCAACTCTTTCTGGTAGTGGTATTGATTCTCGATGAAATTGGCGTTGACAAAATTGCCCAAGTTCGCGCTGGTGTACCATCCAACATTGTTTGCGTCAACATTGACCTCGCGAAGCATTCTGATCATTTCGGCCTGGTAGGCGGTGTTTGACTTGGCTCGTGGAGCGGCAGCTGCGCTGTTGAAGTGCTGTTGTTCATATTGCGCCTCCGCAGGAAGATCGACGACCGGGAAAGGGAAAGAGTTGGTGACCTCGAGGGTGCCGTTGACGTCCATACCGACAAGACTACCCGTGGCGACGGTTGGGAAACGAGTTGCGCAGTGCTTGATGACCTTCATGACGACCTGTAATCGTGTCAATGCCTTGTGACCAGATTTGTGAGCCGAGTGTGAACTTACCAGCGATTCAAGCTGGACCGTCTTGAGCGGTGTTTCTTGTCTAGAGGTATGTCAGTTGCTTGTCAGGCACCAAAGATACAGATCTGGGACATACTGAGGAGCCGCCATCGTTGCTGAGTATCTGATGAATGCTGGATGTCCGTCGAAGGTCCTGAACTGGCCCTCGCCAGCGCTCTTTGTGGGCGCCGACATTTTTGCGGAGTGATACGGTAAAGGGAAGGTTAGCCGAGGTCAACTTCACACATGGGGGTCGATGAAGCGGTGGACGGCGACAGCACAAACGTCCTTGGCAATTGAGTTGTATTCTGCCGCACCCGTCACCTACATCGGGTCCAAGACCACATTCTGTCCATGAGGAGTTCGCCGTGGTCATTGTGGTTGTCGTTGCTCCTTTCGCATGGTGCTCGACAAACAGCCAAAGCGTAGGCAGATTAGATAAGATAAGATTGCGTCGGCGGACGACGATCATCCACCCTTTTTTTGTCTGCATCATCATTCACGATGTCTATGATTTCCCCCTAGGTGGTTAGTTGTACATTGATTTGCTTTCTTTCTTCTTCTGTTTCCGGCGTCCGTGGCTTTCAATGTCTTCCAATACTAATACAGATATTTGGCTTGTAAGTTGAAACGATGGTTGTCTTCCGTCTCGAGCTCTGACCCAAATCACAGGCCGGTGCATTTGCTGCTTTCACGGTCGATCTGCTCGTTTACCCTCTAGACACACTAAAGACACGATTGCAGTCTCAGGACTATGCGAAATTGTACAAAAACGCTGACGGCTCGACCAAACGCTCTTTGTTCCGCGGGCTGTACCAGGGTGTTGGCTCTGTCATCCTTATCACCATTCCCTCTTCCGGCGCATTCTTTACCACATACGAAGCCTTGAAATATACTCTCAATGAAGCGGTTCCTCCAAACTCCTCGCTCTACTTACCGCAACCTGCTATACACGCAGCCGCAAGTGGTGGAGCGGAATTGGTTAGCTGCGCGATCCTGACTCCTGCCGAGGTGTTGAAGCAAAATGCGCAGATGCTCAATTCGAGTGGACGGGGATCTACTTCGCTGCAAGTATTGAAAACTTTCAGAAAGCAGCCTTCCAGGCTGTGGAGGGGTTACACAGCCCTCGCGGCACGAAATCTCCCCTTTACCGCTCTGCAATTCCCAGTATTTGAGTCTTTGAAGAACTATTTCATGGCACGCCGGAAAGCTAAGAAAGGCGGCGAGCCCGTGGACGGGATACTCGAACGCGCAACTATTACTGCTTACAGTGCTGGTATCGCTGGTAGCGGAGCTGCATGGATCACTACTCCCATCGACGTGGTGAAGACAAGAATCATGCTAGCAGCTGGTTCTGGAGAGGAGCCGTCAACGAAACCAGATCCGAAGTCGAAACCGACCAGTCTCCTGATGCATGGCATCCAAGGATCGGGGAGGAAAAGTGGCTTCACGGTAGCTCGAGAGGTTCTGAAAGCTGAAGGTGTACGAGGACTCTTTCGGGGAGCTCTTCTGCGAGGATGCTGGACTGCACTTGGGAGTGGCCTGTATCTTGGATGCTATGAAGGCGGTCGATTCTACCTGGAAAGTACGAGAACAGGCGCCAATGAAGGGGATCACCTCATGCAGCGAGACTTGTCAAATGTGAAAGTCGGCGTCGGCGGCAGCAGATCTCAAGACAAGGTGAAAAAGAGCGCATGGCAAGATGATTGAAACATGAGACCACCTAAGCACCCCTCCACAACTCGGCACCACTGAGGTCGTATTCTGAAAGCAGACACATCATTCTCAAGATCCGAATCATCAACAGGGGCAAGGTGTACCTGCATCGTGTTTAGTCAGCATCACGGAATGCCACTTCCACCAAAGTCCTGATTCGGAAATAAACGTGACCTGAAAGAACTGGCATGGCTCTGGTCTTTGAGAGACTCGACGTCTGTCAGCATCAGTCCTGTCTGGTGGGTCATATTCACTCTAGCGGTCTTGGTCTCTGCTGCTTCTTCATCCGATGAAGATGGGTGTAATATTTATACCGACTACTCGCTCACAAGCTGCCATCAACATCTCCCTGTCACCAATCAGTCGAGCACAATACCTGCAATGACACCAATCTCAGTCTTGCTAATAGGCGCGAGCGGTGCTCTGGGAAAGCCACTGCTTGATGAGTTGGTCCGTCAGAAGAAGCAATTCGAGCGTGTCGCCATACTGGCAACCCCGGATAGGGTTTCCAAATTCAAAGACCTCGACGTAGAGGTCATTGCCGGATCGCTCTACGATCCGGCATCGTACAGAGGTCAGCTTGACGATGAATGAGCCTCGCGCTCTTACTGACAGACTGGACCAGGTTTCAGCCATGTTATCTCCGCAGTTGGAAATGCTCTGATGGTACTGCAGCCTGCAATGGTGGAGGCAGCTATCACAGCCGGTATCCAGCATTTCTATGCATCAGAGTGGAATAGCGACATTGCACAGCGCGAGATCTACAATATGCGCTACTTCCGTGACAAGCAAGCCGTCCGAGCATATCTCCGAGCCAGAGCGCCTCAAACCCCTGGCTTTCAGTACACCTTGATGGTGACTGGTATCTTCACCGAATGGGCCCTTGACGAGTTCTACGGGTTTGAACACAAGGCGCTTACTGCGAAAATATATGGTCAGCCAGGCGCACGAATTGGGGTCACCTCGATTCCAGATATCGCAAGGTACACAATTGATTCGTTGCGCATGGCCTTTGAAGGACAAGGTCGGACACTGAGGGTTCAAGGGTGGACTGGCAAGCTCGACGATCTTATTGCCGAGCTCGAGATAGCCAGAGGTGTCAAGTACCAAGTTACATGGGTCGATGTGAACGAGGCTAAGAAGCAGGAAGAACAAGCAAGGCTGAAGGAGGATGATCTGGGAGAGATGAGGTTCAGTATTAAAACACTGCTAGCGAGCGGGCATGGTGTCGCAGATGGGGTTGGCAGACTGGACAATCATCTTTTCGATTTCCAGCCGGAGATTCCCAGAAAGACCTTCGAGAGAGTCTTCGAGGATCACTTGGCCTAATCTCAGCTATCCGAGGGTACCTAGCTCATCTCGACGTCACCATCTGCATGGTTCTCATGTGCACCTTCCACCTCAAGGTCACCGTCCTCATCTTCGTCCTGCTCTTCCTCGTCTTCCCAAGCTTCGTCATCATCCATTTGATCTTCCATCCCTAAATCCTTATTTAATTGCTGAACCAACTCAAGCGCATGATCCTTGAGCCTATCATCCTCATAATCTTGCACGCGATATAGTCTCAGACAGTTATCCAGCCATATTTTGGAGGCTTCCTGGCTCTTTGTATGGTACTCTGGGGCTGCGTCTGGTTTCTGCGCCATGAGGACCTGGCACCATCCACCCAAGTACCAGCACTCGACGCTTTGATCGTCTTCTCGCACCAAGCCTTCCAACACAGTCATGGCTTCTGCTTCAGCCTCAACTTCCATTAGCAACCTGCTCAGACTGACGCGGGTAGCGAAATTTGGTCGCGCCTCATCATCCACGTCTGCGGGAATGTCCTTCCAAATCTCGACACTGCGCCGTAGCGCCTGTCTGGCGTCGTCGAAGCGTTCCTGGCTTATTCTCACACTCGCTAGTGTCTGCAAAACTCCTGCACTCATCCGGTCGGGACAAACAGCGACTGCTTCGGTGACGAACTGCTCGCAATGTTGCTCTGCGTCCTCTTCCCAACTCAGATCCGTCATGTATACCTCGGCCATTGCGCACAGCGCATCTGCGAGTTTGGCCTTCCTCTCGTCCAAGACTTTTACACTCTGATCCTCAGCTTTTGCCTCGTCATCTTCAAGTACGTCGATCTCGTTCCGCAGAACTTCTATCGCTTTTTCAAAGTATGATATGCTCTCCCTGCCTCCTCCTTCACATAACTGGGCGAGCCATAGCCACGGCTCGGCGCTGACCAGTGCTCCATTTGGATCGATCTGTGTAGCGCGGAGGAAACTTCGTCTCGCCGAGTCGGCGTCACCTAGGGCGAGTTGGATCTCTGCCTCAACCGCGAGTGCTTCTGGTAGAGTAGATTGACCCTGTGCGGCGAGTTGCAGCAATGCATCTATATCGTTGTCATCTTTGGACTGTCTCTCAGTCTCGAGACGGCGGAGTGCTTCCTCGGCGAGAGGGAGGGCGAGTTCTGGCTGAGATTGCTCTAGGAGTGTTGCGGCTTCGGTTAGGAGATCCTCAATTGACCGTTGAGACTTTTTCGGTGCCGACTTGACCAGGGGCGTGGTTGTCGAGTGGAGGATGTCTTTTTGTTTGGAGTGGGATTTCGTCTTTGTTTTGGCCATGGTTTCAACCGATGTCACACTCTACCCAGAATATCAAGCACGAAGTGCAGCAGGAGTGTCGAGACTTTGGAGGCTATTACAGTCTCTGTTCATTGCTTTCTACAGACGCAGTTTCCAAAATTTTGGCCGATGACTTACATAAGCAGGGTCTTCGGGCAACTCTACCGAGTCGTGAAATTCACGTGACAGGACGGGATAGATGCCACCAATGCTTAGCTTGCTTGGTTTTCCTTCCGGCATATGACTTCTCTTTAACATCATCCCAAAGTTACCTCGTACCTATCTTATTTCGGAAGTGATCTTTCGCCAAAAATACGTAAACTTGATACTCTCTGTGGTTGTATGTTGCGATGCCAACAAAGCAGATCCCTCCGGAGCTTTTCTCCGTCGCCGCGCCCCCTGTCGTCATTGCAGGAACATCTTGTCTCTCCTTCGTTTTGACCGATTTTCATTTCTCGAAAAGGGCTTCCGTCCAACCGCTTGAAAGCCGATGTAGCTAAAACCGGTCTGAAACAGACGCAAATCCCAATGAACATCCATAAATGGCATCCTGTCTCATTTCGACCATGCAGAAGACCATTCGCGGTTCCTCAGGATCGTCTCACCATATTAGCGAAGCCTTACAACCACTTTTGACCTTGTGTGACAAATTATAGAATGACGTCAAATTCTGTCACCGTCTATATCGCCGCAACGCAGTACAAGCCAAGCGGAGCCTCTTTCCTGTTATCGAATGACGCCGGACCCGAATTCTCCCCAGGCGGAGTGTTCGGTGTGGCAAGTTGATAACACGTCTGACCGGATTCTCATTCTGCTTCTCTTGTGATTTCTCCGCCCTTAGTTGAGCACAGAGCCTTCGTCCTTTTTCAGCGCTCAAAATGGCCACCAAACTCAAGAGTGTTGTTACGAAGTTTACTGACAAATTCACTGAGCACAAGCATGAATTAGGCCAGACTCTCACGAATTGCAATGACAAGAACTATCGAGGAGGTTCAGAGAAGGACGTCGCTAAGATCATCGAAAGTGAAGAGTGGTCTGGTTCGGAGTCTGAAGAAGGACCAGACGGACCCCGACGCCTTCAGGCGGCGAAGAACATAGATGATTTCGAGAACAACGACGACCCTGCAGAACTCAAAACCCTGTATGGCCGACTACCACTTGTTCAGTCCCAAGAGGAGGCTCCCGACAACGAAGTATGGCAGAGCGACTGGGTTTCTTTGATAAATGTTGGCCCGGACCACATTGGCAAAGAGATCTGTTTTCGCGCTAGAGTGCATATCGTCCGTCACATGAGTGCGAAGCTGGCCTTCGTAGTCTTTCGCGAACAGACCACGACTATTCAAGGCGTACTGCGCGCAGTCGAAGGTGGTGTCTCCGAAAACATGGTGAGGTGGGCAGAACACATCCGGACAGGCACCATTGTTATCGCCAAAGCAAGGGTGAAGGAGCCCGAACAGATGGTCAAGAGCACAAGCACTCACCATGCTGAACTTGAGCTTTTGAAGATGCACGTGGTCTCGGCTAGAACAATTCCAGTCCCTTTCAGCGTTTACGAAGCCGATGCTGCCACGGATGGCCACTCCATATCCGACCGAGTTAGACTGTCGAATAGAATCCTCGATCTGAGAACACCGTCCGCACAAGCCATCTTCAGAGTACAATCAGCTGTATGCAGGGCATTTCGGCGCTTTCTCGAAGACCGCGAGTTTTTGGAGATTCACACCCCAAAAATACAAGGTGGCGCAACAGAAGGTGGTGCAGATGTCTTCAAGCTCAGTTACTTCGGTCGTCCGGCATTTCTTGCCCAGAGTCCGCAACTTGCTAAGCAGATGTGTGTATCTGCGGATTTCCCCCGAGTCTACGAGATTGGGCCCGTCTTCCGCGCTGGTACGTTTGCAACACGTTGTCCGAGATGCAACACAAACTGACTTGATCCAGAAAATTCCAACACCCCTCGTCATATGACCGAATACACTGGGCTGGACCTAGAAATGGCCATTAACCGACATTACCATGAAGCTATGTGGCTAATTGATGCAACACTGAAATACATCTTCAGAACTCTGTATGAGCGCCACCGCAACGACATTGATACCGTGAAACATCATTTTCCGCACGATGATCTGATATGGCTTGACAAGACACCGAGGCTCACATTTGCTGAAGGGGCGAGGCTTCTGAACGAGTCAGGCTGGCAGAACGAGGATGGAAGTCAACAATCCGAGTACGAAGACCTATCGACGAGGGCCGAGCGGCGATTGGGAGAGCTGGTCAAGGAGAAGTACCACACTGACTATTATATCCTGGACAAGTTTCCTACAGCCGCTCGTCCCTTTTACACTATGTTGGACCCGAAAGATGACCAGCTCACTAACTCGTTCGATTTTATGGTTCGGGGACAAGAAATTCTTTCAGGTGGGCAACGTGTTCACGAACATGAACTACTGAAAGAGCGCATGGAGGCTCAGGGCATGGATCCGAATGACCTCAAGGAGTATATGCAAGCATTCGAATGGGTGGCGCCGCCACATGCAGGCTGTGGCATCGGTCTCGAACGATTGGTCTCACTCGTCCTGGACCTGGGAAATTTGCGCTACGCTTCACTATTCCCTCGCGATCCGAAGAGTTTCCCGGCCAAAGCAGAACCCAACCTACGACATCCCGACGACAATACGCTGCAGAGACGCAAGGGTTATCTTCCAGTACTGGAGAATCTCGTCGCCAATTATGGCGATGCAACCAATACATCATGGATGGACGACAGATTCCAGATTTGGCGCGATGAGAGGACTGGTGCCGCGATTGCTTACGTGCCAACCCACGATCGCGCAATCTGTGCAGGAAACCCGTTGTGCGATCCGAGTCAATACGAAGATGTGATTGGGGCATTCTTGAAGTGGCTTCGAAAGGCGACCGACCTCAAACCCATTTTCATCCTTGTCGGCAAGGAGGCCGAAGACGTACTTGGAGATAAACTAGGTTGGAAGAGCTTCACGAACGTCGCCGAACAGCGCGTCAACCTCGCTAACGATGAGCACCTGAATATCGACACTGACGTCAGCCGGAAGATCAGACACGCTACGAAGGAAGGTATCAAAGTAACGGATTATGGCAGCGACGTGCCTGAAGAAACACGTCAAAAGGTCGAACAATGCATCAAAGAGTGGCAGGAGAATCGCCAGGGAGAACAAGTCCATCTGAGCGAGATCACACCTTTTAGAGACGCGGCACATCGGCAGTACTTCATCGCCCAAGACACAACTGGCAAGATTCATTCTTTGGTCGTGCTCGCACAGCTGGCCCCGAGGTATGGAGTCCAGGTGAAATGGGCTCTGGATTTCCCTGGAGCGGCAAACGGTGTGATCGAGATGACTGTACAAGCCGCACTCAAGACCGCTGCAGACTCTGGGTGCAAATCATGCACTTTCGGCGCAGGTGCTACCGCGAAATTGAGTGCTGGGCACAACGTCGGCGGCGCAAGGTCAGCTACTTTGAACTCTTTATATCAGACCTTGGCTGCCAGGTTCAACCTGGAAAAGAAGACTGGATTCCGGGCTAAGTTCAACACGCTCGACGATCCGATCTTCCTCTGTTACCCACCTAGAGGGCTGGGACCGAAGGGTGCCCGAGCGATTGTCGATTTCTTTCAAGGAAAGGGGTAGATTTGGCTTTAGCTCAGGAATGCGGTGCTGCATCCCTTCAGCAAACACTATGTTATGACGATCACGGAGGACCGGGGTTCCGAGGATGCTAAAATGAGATCGAGAATCGTCTCTACACGGTCGTTCTCAGACTTGATTACTGGTCCTGGCATCGCCATTGGCCACAACCGGTACATACCACTGCTCAAGATATTCCGATACAGCTTCCCATTCACTCATACAGCACGACATTGCAACATAGAGATCAGGCCTGACCAGCACCAACCTTCCATCATCATTCTGATCGATCTCGTACCTCTCCAGGAACTCGCCTGTTTCGTCATTGGATTGATGATCGAAATCAAACTCTGCCTCACGTTTGTCGGAGATGAGGTAGATGCAAACGCAATTGGGGAATCGTTTCTCAAGCGTGTCTCGGATGGTCACGGCGTGCGCCAGGTGCTCATTCTTCCGTAGTTTGCTGGGACAAACGAGAAGTGTGAACTGTGGCCGGCGGAAGATGTCATAAAGATGTCGCAGGGGAGACTTGGTCAAGAGCGCATCAGGGGCTCTCTCGCCTGCCCTCGGTCCTTTGGTCGGACGGAGCCCGTCCGGAACACGGACCACTTTGCAGTAGTTGTGTGAGAGGCCTGATACTAACTTGATGGTGGTGTCTTCCCAGTTTGGCACCTGCGTCAAATGATACCTGTCTCCAGGCTCTTCGCCGAAGCCCATGACAATATGATGAGTTGCCATTGCACCATGGCTGATCTGTTCGCCGATGGGCTTTCTTTCTTTTTCATAAGTGTCGAGGATCTCTGCTCTCCCTTGCCCCTTATATACAGCGGCGAGCTTCCAGCCAAGATTGAATGCGTCTTGCATGCAGCCATTCATTCCCTGAGTATTGTCAGTGTCGAGGTGATTTGCTTTTCAGGAGGACTTACCTGGCCTCCTGACGGAGAGTGGACGTGACTTGCGTCGCCGCAGATGATCAGCCTTCCCTCGCGATAGTGACTGGCAATGTTGTTCCTGATATCCCAGGAGGTCGCCCACTCGGGTTCTCCCAGCTTGAAGCCGATGCCGATCTTGTCGGCAACCTCCTGGAACGATTGCTTCTTGTCTTCCCTGTACACGTATTCTCCCGTGGGCTCGCTCATGTAGATTCGCCAGACTCCACCAGGCATTCGTGTGACGTTCATGAACAAGTCTTTAGTAAAATAATAATTCATCCATCGGTCGTCAAAGTTCACGCTTGTTAAGGGCACATCCATCATGGCCATCGCGGCCACGACTTCACCGTTGAACTTGATGCCAGCCACATCACGAACGAAGCTCTTGACGCCGTCACACCCGATGACCCACGGGCATGTGATGACCTCCGTTTGGCCGTTGGGTAATTTGATCGTGGCCTTCACGAGCCCATCCTTTTCGATCTCCGCCGGGCTGGACAGTGCCACGATCTCGGTCTGGTACTCTGGTGCCATCCCCTGGGTTGCGAGCAGATGCTCTCGCAACACCTGCTCGAAATCGTTCTGGCTGATCTTGTAGTAGAACGGGTACCTCGTTGGCAATACACGATAATCAGTCTTGGGACACTGTTCGTCCGGCATGCCTGGGAAATGATATCGGTTTCCGGGACATTCGAGGCAGACTTCTTTCAGTCGGTGGCCAATGCTCATATGGTCGAACATCTCCATTGAGCGGGCGTGTACCGTCATTGCACGGGCTGTGTGAGAAGGTCCTTGGCGCTTTTCGACCAGGCGGACCGGCACGCCGCGGCGCATGAGTTCATAGGTGAGTATGAGGCCTGATGGACCGGCGCCGACGACGAGGACGCCATCGAAGTGCTTCGCTTTAGCGTTGGTCGGATCCGTCATGTTGTCAATTGCAGCAGAAGAGACTCAAGATACTGTTCGTTTCCTTCAGACCTGCCGTCTGTGGAAGGTGCAGTGATTCTCGCCTCATTTATACGTGTTGAGTCTTGCCACCTGGGCGGTGGATATCAATGTCAGTAGACGCTTGAGCGTCCGATCCACCATTCAGATGACCATGTTGTCGCCCCAGAGTCCGCCCCACGTGCATTCCGCGTGAGTCTGGTCTCTTGTATCCCCTTGAATTTTGTGGTGGCCATGACAGAATCGGCGCGGGGAGTCTATCAATCAGGAGCTGGGGCATGGGGAACCAATGCAGACAGGTTTTTACTGGGATCGGTCTCCTCGGGTTGTTCGGTGGCCACTTGTCATACACCTATACCAGATGTCGGAATGCTAGTGCCGACAAAATAGGATGACCACCAGGCTGTCTAAGTTTTTCGGAAAATGGGTGTGGGTCACCCACAGGCGGCCAGGGTTGAACGTCGCAACTAAAGTCCTCTTCACTCTTCTTTTTTTGTTCAACGGACCAGTAATGCTGTATGAATGCAAGAAATGACACGAGGTGAAAGTTGTTGCACGTTCACGATCATGGAAAGCATTAGACCCAATCGTGTCTGACACAACAACTACTGCTCAGCCCTCCTAGGTATATCGTAGATCGGGAAGGCCAAGAGAGCACGTTGCTTCCCGCATTTTGATAGCATTGGAATGTATGAATGCGTTAAGTCATTGAAGTCACTATATGCTCGGAATGCAGGACACACTGAAGCCTGGTGCATGCGGGACGTACTTGAAATTCCATTCACCCCACGAAGCCACTGCAGCATCCGTCTCGTTACGACACACCTTCCAGAGTGAGCTTCGTCTCTCCGTTGTATCGAGCAAGGCACTCCTCGGCGTCGTCCCGCTCACTTTTCAACAACAATGCAGCAATTTACTGAGAGCGAGGGCAGAATCTTCGCTTGGCAGGCGCCCGGGGGTGTCTACGGGTTGACCTTGGCCTAGGGACCGGTGACAAGACAAGTGGCGGCTTATGAACTTTTGAGCACCACTCTCTCCAACAAAGATCTCTACTCACCAAGGTGGCTTTCTCTTCTCAACTTGGTTAGCCAGTAGCTTTGCCATTTGTGTATATGCACCTCGATCTGTGAGCAATCCTGACTGCTTTGCATCGAGTCATACCTGAAGAAAACATAGCTGTTCAAAAGGCGTAAGCCGCCACTTGTCTTGGCACCAGTCCCTAGCCTAGTGACCTCGGGAGCCCCAGCGGGCCAGCAGAACATCAGAGATCTGGAGCGGCGGAGCCCCGCGTTAACTAGGTATTTATGTGGGTTTAAACCTAGGGAAACCCTCCAGAATTTACCGAACATCGTTTCTTCGAAGGGTTCCCTCGAGGTCGTTCCATTGCGCAATGCCGCCAGTCTACCAATGTCAACATTGTCAGAAGACGTACTCCAACAGCAGCCATCTGCGTCGGCACGAAAACCTTCGTCAGTAATCATCGTTTAACAGCCAGGACAGTCACGCTAAGTCAACATAGATACCAGCCGTGATGCATTTCCGTGTGCGTTTTGTTCTCGAAAATTTGGCAGAAGGTAAGTTTGTCCAACAAATATCAGATGACTTGTTTCGCGGCCAACACGAGCATAATGAAGAGATGTAGCTCACCGCCATTCGAAGTCTTGTCGGGAGAAAGGCTTGGATCCGATTCCTGTTCCAGTACCTCGCGGCCGAAAGAGAAAAGCATGCGAGTCTTGTGCGCTCACCAAGGTGGCTTGTGATGAGAAGTTTCCATGTACTCGATGCCTCGGAAGGAAGTCGGAGTGCACGTACCCAGTTGGCCACAGGATTCGTGTGCGCAACGATGCCCTTGAGGTACACCAATATCCTGTGGCAAGGCAGTCTGCGCGAGCAGAACGTGCCTCGTCTCATTCGAGCACCGGAAGTGCTAAGAGTGCCATGCCATTCCTATCTAACTACACCAATCCTGCAACCAATTCCCTCTCAGCTTACTACAAGAGTGCCCAAGAGGTTAACGATAGCTTTTCTGACCACGAGTACATCGTTGGAACGGCAGGTGAAGAGCCAGATGAAGAGTCGACGGAAAGAGTGAGCACATTCCTGCTTGGTAATCCCGACGAGCAGTGGTGGGACGACATCATCATTGCAAGACATTCCTGCCCCGACGATGACGCTCTAGATCACAACCACATGCGAGAACGGTTAAGGCAGGTCGCCCTTGATCTCACAACCATACAACGGTCGCAATGTCGCAAACGTGGAGCTGCGCTTTTCTTCGATGAAGAAACCTTCAGGACTCTCTTCACTCATGACAACGTGGTAGAATTTACCGAACTATATTTCACCCGTTGGAGCCCTCACTGCCCAATCCTGCATCGCCGGACCTTCGATTTGAGCAAGGTCCATCCGCCACTGTTGCTGGCAGTCTTTCTGATCGGGGAGGCCTACTCGCACGAGGTCTACCCCTCGCTGGCTCAAGCTTACTATGACATTGCTGAAGAGTACACATTCAGTCACCCCAAGTTCAGAGAGCTGCTGGGGGACGACCCAACGTCCTCATCATCGACCTCCGCGCGCTCGCTTGAACCGCTCCACGCCGCATACTTGATGGTACTTCTACAAATGTGTGGCAAAAACGTCATGTCCAGACGGCGAGTGAGGAATGCGCGATACAATGAGGTCATTCAGGCCGCTCGTGGGCTGAAGCTCTTCGGCAGTAAGAATGAGTACCTGGATAGTGAACAAAGCGATTGCATTGACTTCGACTGGCATGGATTCGTGGTCAAGGAGTCGAGAATAAGGTGAGTTTATCTTTGATGACTTTCAAGCTGGGTTATGACGGTGTGGCATAGGCTCGCATACCTCATCTTTGGAATCGAATGCAACTTTGCCATGTTTCACGCGCACTATCCAAGACTGGCCGTCTCAGAAATGACAGGCAGCCCGATGTGCAGTGAACGATGCTTTTCTGCTAGTACAAGCGCTGCATGTGAGCAATACGCCAAGCAGGAAATGAGGTCCAGCACGAATGCTATCTCAACAAGTGTATCACAACTTTTGGAGAGCCGAGACGACCTTGCGGGACACTCAAGCCTAGTCGACCTGGCACCCAGGAATTTCTTCTTCGTTCTCTGCGGTATGCATGCTCTCTCCTCATTTCATTCACACTCTCATGCCAGTATCTAGGCCTTCACTGTGCCATCCATGCCTCACGTGCGAACGGGTTGGGAAAGATCATGTATCCCTCATTCATGAAAGCGCTAGGCCGTTGGATGAAGATATGGGATCGGCAAGTAAGCAACCTGCCGGTCGAAGAATGGCAGAAGCTGGGATTCATGAGGGATGCTGGTCCCGAATTCTGCCAGCTTGCGTTTTTCTTCATGGAAGCTGAGGCGCGTGGCCTGTTCAACACTGAGAAGCTGCGTAGCATGGATTCTGAGAATATGGGATATGTCAGTTATCTACTGGAAGCGTTCTCTCGGACCGCTTAAGGAGTTGATTGTTCGCATAAGCAATGATCAATGTTCTGAAAAAGCAACAGATTGGGCGCGAATGGATTTTGACATTATGTGTCACTTTTTCCCCATGTTGATATGATATTGAGGGACATGGGGCCGGCCACGGAGTGCGTAACTAGTTCAAGTAACCTAAGAGGCACCCGGCAGTTAGATAAGGTACGTGTACTGTGTATCACACTCAGTACTGTACTGCCTCGGAAGGTATCTTGCACAACCCCACATTGTTGATGATGGCGAATTGTTCCCCACCTCCAGCTTCCCCAAGGCGTCGGTAAACCATCTAGACGAGGGATATCATCCCGTACCAACCTGAAAATTGTGAACAAGATCTCAAAATTTTGATACATCTCCTAGCATCAAAGACAAACTAAGCATGACTCTCAACAGTGTCCTCCTCATCGGCGCCGGTAACCTCGGCAGCTTGATCCTCAAGCATCTCCAGGCCTCTTCTCACAAGTTCACCATCACTGTATTGACTCGGGAATCGTCAACCGCGCAGTTCCCATCGTCGGTAAAGGTCGCTAAGGTTCCCGATGCTTACCCACACGCGCAGCTCGTGGAAGCCTTCAAAGGTCATGATGTCGTCGTCTCCGCAATCTCCATGATGGGCATGCACCAGCAGTACAAATTCATCGACGCCGCCGTGGAAGCCAAGGTCAAGCGCTACATCCCCACTGAGTACGGTCTCGACGATCTTCCAGATTGGTTGACGGAGCTGAGGCCCATGTTCCGGACCAAGCATGACGTGCGGGATTACTGTTTCGAAAAGGAGAAAGAGGGTCTATCCTGGACGTGCATCGTCTGCAATGTCTTTTTTGAGATGGGCATTCAGAGTGGCTTCTTCCAATTCGACTGGAAAACGAAGACGGCTGAATTGATCGACGGGGGAGAGGCCAAATGGCCGGCCACCACTTTGGATACCGTTGCCATCGCCGTTGTCAAGGCCGTTGAGAAGGACGAAGCGACTAAGAATAAACTGCTGTTGATACAGGATTTCAGGACGAGCCAGAAGGAGATCCTAGATGCCTTGCCGGGAAAGTGGAAGGTAGAGAATGTGAAGTATGAAACGTGGTTGGAGGAGGCTAAGGAGAAGGTTCGGAATAATGATGATAGTGCCCTTCCCAAGCTGACATTTGGGTCGGTGGTCACGGGAGCGGAATGGAAGGATAGAAAGGAGTTCGGAAACGAGTTGTTGGATTTGCCGACAAAGTCATTCAAGGAAGCAATGGAGGAGGCATTGAGGGGGGTGCAGTCATGATGCGGCAGGGCAGATGAAGTCGACGAGGCTACGAGGCTGTGCCAAGAAGAATAAATATTCTCCAAATCTGACACTTCTGAGTCGTTAGTTCTCAACGAGTACAATTTTCTGATCGTTGCAAATATTGACGTTTAACCGGCAGCTACTTTTCATTCTTCAATCCGTTAAAACTGCTGTACTGTCTCTGTCGCTGCGATCAATGTCCGTGTATCGACATTGAATTGAGATCGACACCCGCTGGCTCGCAGGTCCATCCATGGCTACATTCCATGACTCAAGATTGCATGTTCGGCTCCGATGGACTACTTGATCCGCCTCACTCAGACACACGAGAGCTTTCGCCGTGCTGAAATAGAGGCACTGTCCAGTCTGGCCGGTATAACATGCGAAATCGTATCTTATGCCGAAGAGTCACCATTTTGTATCGTTCGATTTTCCGGTCTATCGGGCCAGTCCACTGCCCTCGATGACCATTCTATCGACGAGGTAGTCCGAGACTTCCAGTCAAGAGCAATCTTGTCTAAATACATCTACGAATTATGGGGGCAGGGCCAGAACTATGACCAACTGCGCGCAGATGTGAAGGTGCGAAGTCAGCACCTTTGGCACAAGTTTGAGCATGTCTCATTCAAATTTTCGGTCGACAGTTACGGCAGCACCCATGACCCATCGCAACAGAGACAGATCATCGACTCTTTCAGCTATCTCGACTTTCAGGGCAAGATCAAGATGAAGAACCCAGAGGCCGAATTTGCCGTCCTGGAAGAGTGGCTTCCTCTCGCATGTGAGCAAGACCAGAAGACCGCCGGTCTAGCCAATGGCACAGCTATCGACCCTATTGCCGGGTCAAGTCTGCGTAGAGTGTTTCTTGGGCGAAAGATTGGAGAGTCGCGACGTTGGTTGAGGGAAAAGCATGATCTCAAGAAAAGACCGTACATTTCGACCACCTCAATGGACGCAGAACTGGCTTTGTTGACTGCTAACATGGCTCTGGCAACCTCTGGCAAAATCTTCCTTGACCCGTTTGTAGGGACTGGTGGATTCATGGTCGCCGCGGCTGAGCTGGGTGCTGTTGTTCTCGGTTCGGATATCGATGGCCGGAGTTTTCGTGGCAAAGGTCTCGGTCTGGAAAAAGGAGTAGGGGCCAATTTCAGAAAGTATGGCCTCTCACATCTTTTTGGAGATTGTATCACATCAGATCTGACGAATACTCCATTTCGCAATTCTGTCAACACCACTGTGTATTCCAGTGGTAGGTGGCTCGATGGGATAATCTGTGACCCTCCTTATGGCGTCCGAGAAGGGTTGAAAGTGCTGGGAACAAGAAAAGCCGTCGATGCTAGCTTCACTGACAACGTCGAAGCCTCAGTACACCACGGGACCCCAGTGCCGCACCTGATCAACGGCATCCCAGCCCATACACTCCCGGGCTATATTGCACCCAAGAAGCCATACTCATTCTTTCGAATGCTCGACGACATTTTGGACTTTGCAGTGCGTACATTGGTGGACGGTGGTCGACTCGCGTTTTGGATGCCTAGTGCCAATGAGAACGAGTTCGGCGAGGAAGAGGCTACTCTCATACCAAGACATCCGCATCTGCAGCTGAAGCACGAATGTGTGCAGAGCTTCAATAGATGGAGTCGGAGGTTGCTCATTTACGAAAGACTTCCAGGATGGCTGGACTTGGAGCCAGGCATCACCCAAAGTCTTCGTGACAGGACGGACGAGGGTGAAATAGGTCGGACGGCCGATGAGCTGAATCCGTTCCGGAAAAGATATTTTGAGGCGTTTGTAGACCGAACAAACGGCGCTTCTCGCTGATGGATGCCTCTCAACACTGTCGGTTTGAAGCCTCTCTAGATCGTTTAACACCCGAGTGCTTACGTGTCGACCTTGAGCTTTTCGATGGCGGCCACTGCATCGTCTCCATCAATGTCCTCTTCATCGACCTTTCCAACAAGACCCCTCTCCCAGAGCTGTCTGCCAGTGAGCTTCTTTTCGTCGGGTTTGCCGCCCCTCTTTTTCTTGTCTTCCGCCTCTTCTTCCTCGCGTTGCCTCCTCTCTTTCTCCTCCATGTCTTTTCGGAATCTCTCCCTCCATTCTAAGAAGCGCTCTCTCGTTACCAGAGCACCGTGGAATTTTCTGTTTTCTTCCTCCTCCTTTTGACGTGCTGCGACCTCCTTCACAGCCTCTGCTTGCCGTATCCTGTCCGATATAAGCGTCTCCGCTGCCTCTTTCAAGGTCGTGACCAGTGTAAAGACCATAGCCATGCCAAGGGAATCTTCAATTGTGGGTTGCAGCGCTTCCATCAATTGGGCCTTGTCTTCTTGGATATCGAGCTGAGGGTGCTTTTCTGCGTTTGGCGGAGTTGTAATATCCAAGTGGGGTGCAACATCAGGGTAGGCCTCTGGATAGGTAACGTTGAGCAACAGGATGGGAGGCGCAGCGTCTTCTTCGTGCTCTGCTCCGGGGACATCAAGAGCTATAGATATCCGGTAGGACGTGTCCGAAAGATCTGTCAGACAATTATCAGAGGACGGCCATCTTGGACATGTAGGTGTGCAAACCTGTAATTTCATCTGGGAAAATCGAGTCGAGGACTTCTCGCTCTTCTTTTTGTTCTTCGATCGCCATGATGAGATGACTTCGACTGCACTCGGTCGTCAGACACTCACATGCGCCACTTCCACTTCTCACAATTACCTAACAGTGTCCAGCGAGGAGAAACACAATACCCAAGGACATGAATTGGCTGTAGGATGTTTGCGATGCGTGGGACCGGTATTTACCCGAGGTTGGAGGAGTCGAGATCTACATGGTTCAAGAAGCCCGCCTCCGACCAATGATCACATTAACAACTCCTGAAGTCGACTTGCGCTCCTCATGTGGACCTGGCTTCAGCTTATCCACGGCTTCCCGCCGACATGCGCGATACTAAATACCAGTCTTCTGGATCACCAAGGCGGGCAGGATGGAGGCTGAGTGGACTCACGACAGTGCCGAAGTACACCGAGCCAAACGACGATCCCGCGTACAGTCTGCGTGTCAGCGCTGTAGAAGGCAGAAGCTGAAGGTCTAGTCTATCTCCCGGTTTGTTTTCTCTTTGACTGATGTCAGCCTTCAGTGTGACCAAGAGCGGCCATGCTCGCTGTGCGTTCGGTCCGAGGTTCCTTGCGTATCAGAGTTCAGGGAGCGGTGTGTATATCAGAAATGATCCAGCTTGATGACCAACTAACAGGCACTTAGACGGAGGAAGCTTGGATCACGACAATCCATTAGCAATGGGTCCGGACCCTCACGACATGATGAGGTTAAGCCTTCTGCTTCTTTACCAGCTGTCAGTGAATCACCTCGGTCGCAGCCCGCCAAGCCCGTGGTAGACGAGGATTACTCAATGTATACGGAGGGAGAGCCGTCAATTGCGCCAGCTAGGCAGAAGGCTGTCAGTGTTGACCAGTTCGCCGCGTCAGACCCTCAGTACCTCGATCAGAGGATCTCTTCAGCAGGACTAACTCAAGCTGTAAGTCGGTGAAGGGAAGCATGCGCTATGCTTGGAATGTGCTAATTCTTCAGATCATCGACAACTTCAGCCCCGACACTGTACTTGATACCTCTACCTCGGCCCTGCCAGGAGGTGTTGGCCGGGTGCAGGAATCACCCAGTGTCGGGCGTGACATGGTCACGGTCGAAGAGCTCTTCGGGTTTGAACTGCCATCAAAGAGGGTAACAGATTACTTCTTGGACACCTACCTCGCAGCTGTGCATTGGTTCATGTTGGTTTTTCATGAACCGACTCTGCGAAGATCCTACGAGGCGTTGATGTCAACACGACGTTGTCCTCGTTCGCGGTCGAATCATGCTACTTTCATTCTGCTTCTACTCTCTCTAGGCGCTCATTATGCACCTGAGGAAGACATCCGGCAGAAGTTTCCGTCTTTCAGCCTCGACACCTTCCGGAGGTTGTCGCTCAAGAGAGTCGAGGATAGCCTTCATGCTTTGTACGATGCTGCAGAGCTAGAGGCCGTACAGGTTTGTGTTCTGCTTGGGTCTTACTACATGTACCATGGTCGACCTAACCTTGCTTTCACTGTACTCAAAGCCGGTCTCGGCTGCGCTGAGCTCATGTCATTGCATAGGGAGCCTGCATGGAGGTGGCTGCCAGAGATGGTCAAAGAGGAGCGTAGGCGGACGTTCTGGGCCCTGTTTGTCTATGATCGGTTTGCCGCCACTATCTATGGAAGACCATGTGGCATACGGCTCGAAGAAATTGACGTCAAAATCCCAGAAAACATGGGAGATACCACGATCCAGCATCCAACGTTCTTATCAACTGCGACCATGCCAGACGGGACCGTCGAACCAGTCACTACTTTCTCCTACATGAAGTTCAAGTTCAAGTTCTACCAGATTTCTTCGCCCATTATCGGCGATCTATACTTTCATCGAAGCTCGAGCGTGTCAGCAATGGCGGCCAAAGTCTCGAGAATACACAATGATCTGGTCAACTGGTTTGACAGTCTTCCTCCGGAGCTGAAGCTGGACACTCTGTTCCACGACCCTAACGCCCCCGTCACACCCAAAACCAGGCCTTTCATGCTGCAAGCATTGGCGCTCCAAGTTGCTTACGACAATGTCCAGATTCTCCTCCACCGACCACTCCTATCTCAAGACTTGCGAAGCTTCAAATCTGATCAGACCTCGTACGACCCCAATACATCCACATCTAGGCCATCTCTAGACAGGGTTGGGTCGTTCATTGACGCTCAAAGATCTGCCCAGGACGTCCACCAGATTTTAGTATCCAGCCGGGATAGCTGCTGGGAGTCAGCCATGCGTTCTTCAAGGCTGGGTCGATTCCAACAGTGTCTAGCATTTGCACGTGATAGCCACGCGGCTGCGTTCCTGGGTATAAATCTCTTCACGGCAGGCATGGTGCTCTGCGTGGTGGCGCTGAGCAGGCCTCTTTCCTCTCAGGCTCACCTGGCGAAACAAGGAGTGTCTCGAATTATGGCTCTCTCGCGCTTCTTGTCAGGCAAAGCTCTACTGTCAGCGCAAACTACAAAGATCCTGAAGGACCTGATCCGCCTAATCGGTGAGAAGGAGATCAAGGCTATGTTGTCTGAATCTGGTGGTCCTGAAAACGCAGGGACTCTGACCAGCGATGTGGGGAGACAGACTACTATGCGATCTCTCGCAGCGACGCCTGCACCAGCAAATGAACAAAAAGGCTTTGCTGAGGATATTGCGACACAACCTACGCTCGATTTCGCAAACAGTGGCGATTCAATGGCGGGTGCCTTCCAACAGGATTCTATCTTTGCAGAGAGCTTTGACTTTAGTGGTTTCGAAAATCTGGATCTGAACAACGGCATCGCTACACTTCAGCAAGGTGGGTATCTTCTCCCACTTGCATTATCCATTGAGAGCTAACATCGTTATAGCCATGTTTCCAGCGTCTCGAGTCGCAACACCTGATCTGGACAAGATGATCAATGACGGCACGCGACGAGAACAGTGGAACCGCGACCAATACAATGCAGAACATGCCTATATCAACCAGATCAGTGGTAGCGAGGATGGCCTGATCGGCACGGATTTCAACATGATGAATACCGTCGGACAAACTTGGCTATGGGACAACCCATCGTGGTAAAATTCGCAGTGTTGCATCGAAGGTCTTGAAACTTTTCATCATTTTCCAATATACATGCCTAACCCAAACGCGACCAACGGATATCGAGACAAATGTCTGCTGAGCCCCATTGTCTGCCTGAGAAGAGTATAAGGGTAGCATCCTTTTACAACGGCCTACTCTTGTGGCCATGAACCAGACAAACAGCACTTGGTGCAGATCACAGTTCGAAGGAAATACGCTCCAGTACCAACGCTGCTATGCAATGGGCATCGACCCTTCAAAACCTCGAAGAACTTGATCGATAAAACTTATGCAGTGCTTATTCCACGCTTGCGATTCTCTGCACGACCATCGCCGTGGCGGCGCCACCACCATTGCAAATTGCTGCAACACCATACTCACCGGGCTGCAGCTGGTGCAGCAATGTCGTCAGAATGCGCGAGCCCGAGCTGCCGAGGGCGTGGCCCAGAGAGATGGCGCCACCAAGGAGATTGACATTAGCATTTTCAAGGCCGAGGATCTAAATTCGCCAGTCAGCTATTTTGTTCCTGTGTTGAATCACAGATGGTGGTCCTTACCTGTTCATTGGCCTTGATCACACAAGCAAAAGCCTCATTGAACTCCCAGATCGCAATGTCTTCTTTCTTCAGACCTGCGCGCTCGAGAGCGAGTGGCACAGCCTTGGCCGGTGCCACGGGGAAGTCGACAGGGTCGATCGCCGCGTCTGCTGAGGAGACTATGCGGGCCAGTACTCTGCTGTCCTTGCCGTACTGTTGTGCGATCGCCTTGTTACCCAGCACCAAAGCACTGGCACCATCGTTGAATGTTGACGAGTTTGCCGCCGTGACTGATCCTCCTTCCTTGACGAACGCCGGCTTCAGTGTGGAAACCTTGTCTTTCCTAAGATTAGTGTATCCCTCGTCCTCGGAGATGATGGTATCTCCCTTCTTTCCTTTGACCGTGACCGGGACAACTTCGTCCTTGAATTTGCCCTCGGCCCATGCCTTTTGAGCTCGCTCAAAGCTTCGAATGGCATACTCGTCTTGCGCCTCACGGGAGATGTTGTATTTCTTTGCGGTGTTTTCGGCGCAGTTGCCCATATGGAATTGGTTGTAGACATCCCATAGACCGTCCTTAATCAGGCCGTCCTCCATTTTAATGTGTCCGAAGGGAGGTTGCTGGGCAGCGCGGTTCAGGTAGTATGGGACCCGAGACATGCTTTCCATGCCACCGGCGACTTGTGCTTCGGCCAGACCAAGTTGAATGTTCTGCGCGGCGATGGCTACGGCTTTCAGTCCAGAAGCGCAGACCTTGTTGATGGTTACTGCTTCCGTGGAAGGGGAAAGGCCGGCGAAGATGGAGGCTTGTCGGGCAGGAGCTTGACCAACGTTACCGGAGAGCACATTGCCCATGTATACGTCTGTAATCTTGGAGGCGGGCACCTTGGACTTTTCGACGGCGGACTTGATCGCCACAGCACCCAATTGAGGGGCTGACATGCTCATGAAGGAGCCATTGAACTTGGCTGTTGGCGTTCGAGCTGCGCTCAGGATATATGCTTCTTGGATCTCTTGTCTCGCGGTGGCGGAGGTGCTGAAGTGGCTGCGCACCTGTGACAGGCGAGCGCCTGCAGCATTGGAGGATGCTCGCGATGCTGCGCGAGCAGCGGACGAGGCGAGGGAGGGCATGTCGTCGGGGGTCGAAAGGTTGGAGGCAGCCAGCTTGAATGACTTTTGACCTGGGGAGCGGCGAGGGCGGCGCTTTGTGTTTATACTCGCAGGGTTAATGCACTATTCCTCACGGAGGCACATGCCAGGGCAGCCTCGGGACCGGCTAAAAGCGGGGAGCGGAATAAGAGGTTGGAGAGAGGGAGCCGCAAGGATGAGTATTCAATAAGGAAACGAGAATATTACTTTCTTTTCGGTGCGGCGTATAAGGGTAAGCACACAGTATCAGAGAGACTGGTCAAACATTTGCCCCCATACTGTGCGGCGAGAGTCTGCACTTAATAACAAAATCCCTCCCGGTGGGAGACACAGCCAGGGCGCGGAATGGGATGAATTTCTTGAGAGGATCCTCGGCGCCATGTTTCCCTTTGTCGGAGGAAAGCCGGAGAGAATGTTCCACTATAAGTCTGTTGTAAAAGCGGCAGTACGATGTCCTCATTTTCAGGTTCCGTGATTGCAATTGTGACTGCGGCGAAACCACTTCATTCAACCCACTCGCGTGAGTTCAGTTTGATCTTCATTCCTTCAACAAGACCTCTTTCTACACATTTCTGCTACCTCAAGTTCAAGGTCCTCGATCAAACATTGCTGTATCTCAATCCACTCGCACTACAATCACAATGTCGACCTCAGCAAGACGCCGCTTGATGCGAGACTTCAAGGTATGTGCCCATTCTCCGATAAGTTCTCTCGCTTTGCCCGCACCCACTCTCCGGTTCCGAAGTCACGGAACCGAATGTCTAACACAATTTCCACAGCGCATGCAAACAGATCCCCCAGCTGGTGTCTCTGCTTCGCCTATTGCAGACAATGTCATGACATGGTACGTGTCTCCCTACAGCCGAGGTTTTGTCGCCGTCGCAGCATTCTAATTTGTGTCTAGGAACGCCGTCATAATCGGCCCCGCAGACACACCCTTTGAGGATGGCACTTTCAGATTGGTCATGCAATTCGAAGAGGCATACCCTAACAAACCTCCGGGCGTCAAGTTCGTCTCGCAGATGTTCCATCCTAATGTCTACGGCACCGGCGAGTTGTGCTTGGACATCCTCCAGAACAGGTGGTCTCCGACGTACGATGTGGCGGCGATTTTGACCAGTATCCAATCACTCCTCAATGATCCAAATACCTCTTCCCCTGCGAACGTCGAGGCCTCCAACCTGTACAAGGACAATAGGAAGGAATACACTAAGCGGGTGAGGGAGACGGTAGAGAAGAGCTGGGAAGATTGAAGAGCAAAGATCATGACCACGAAATACTATCGGATTCAGCGATTGCATACCATGCGGTGAGACGGCGTTTCGGGCGTTCGACATTCATATCAGCTCTTCATTGGGCTTTTTGGGCTTTCAGGGGTTGATCAATGCCAACTAAGGGGTAGGACCGTTCTCCAGCGAGGAGTCGATCGGAAGGAAGGGTGTTCAGGGTGCTTACAACAGACACAACTACATGTGTGCTTATCGGCTATGTGAAATCTGCTGAGCCTTGGAACGCAATAGCATTCTCTTAGCCGATGTTACTGCACAATGTATACTGAGCTTCGACGTTCAAGAACTCTGCCCAGGACTATTCAAATGAGACATTCCGTGGCCACAGGAGTGATGAGGTCTTTGGAAAAAGGTCGTTGTATTCATGCAACTACATCGCTAACGCTACGAAACTTCATGTCCACTCCATGGCTGTCGTTATAACCTGAACCCAAATGCCCAAGCCGGTAAGTATCCAAGTCTTCCTCAAATCCAACCTAAGCCAACGCACCCATTGGATCCCATCGCGGCAGGACCAGAGGCTCTGTCTTGAGGACGTCCTTGATCTCCTTACCGACGAAGCCTGGGTCAACCACGACTTGGTACACAAACTCATCCATCCATTTATCCGTCATGACAAAGTATCCTTTCTCTCCAGGACCCTCACCCCAGGAGTTCATGACACGCCAGCGCACGCTCTTTCCGTCTTCGACTTGCACCGCCGTCAGGACCATAGCGTGCGTCATAGCCGACTCGCGCACCTTCAGCCTCTGACTCTTGCTCATGCCGAGGTTGATATTGAAGGCAAGACCATAGTCGTACAGCGCGGGGTCCATGATGCCGGAAGTGCTGTTCGAGAACTTGCCGACGTCACTACCAAAGAACACAGGCAAGCCGGCCCGCAACATGGCGATTGCAGCTTTCTTCATGGTCGTCATATCGACGTTAACGTACGTCACAGGCCGGCCACCGACGACGTTGCCCAGTCTCTCGACGGTCATGAGCTGGTTGTACTTGTTCCTGGGATCATTGACCAGACTGAACAATTCGCTGACGTTAGCATTCAGGGTACGCACAATGCTCGGGCTCGACAGGTCCGAGGCCAACTCCACCGGCGTCTTGACCACTTTGTGGTACTTGTCGTTGGCATCGTAGTATTCCCATGTGAATTTCTCGTCGGGCTTGGGTGGCGGGCCGAGCATGAGCGTCAGCACGGCGTGGACTTCTTGCATCATCTTGGCCTTCGCGGCGACGATGGAGGATCTCTTGATAGAAGGGTTATTGAGCATTTGGCGCAGGATGAGGCCGTCTTCACGCAGTTTAGTGGTCAGGATAGAGCCCATGGAGGATGAGTTCATGGCATTGTATGAGTCGGGGTAGAGTTTCTGGGGCAGCTAGACATAATCGTTAGATTACATAAGAGACGGGCGTGGTAACAGGGACTACTCACCAGACCATACTTTGCTACGAGGTTAGCTGCCATATCCCACTGACCACCGTCGTTGACAGGTGCGCCCAGCAATTCCTGAACGATCCTGCTGTCCAGGTCTTCGCCTGCGGTGTCGACGATCTGCTCGAGGAACCAATTGGCCTTCTCGAGTTTGTCCCAGAAGAACAGATATGCCTGGCTCAACTCGAATTCTTTGAGGTTGTATTTCTTCATGATCGCTACTCGCAGCACGTTCGTGGTCGCGAAGAGCCAACATCTTCCGGAAGACCGTTGGTTTGTGACTGGGGAGCCTTCGAGCGGTATCTTGACATTGAATGTCTGCGTATCGGTCAGGGTAGCGACCTTGTTCGTGATAACGGAGCGTAGATCATTGGAGAGGAGAGCGTTGAGTGCCAGTCGGTTCTTGGGGTCGGCGAGCAGTTCTTTCTCCCAGGACTCGGCTGCCTTGACGGATAGTGTGGGATCAGTAGAGTAGGAGTGTGGGATGCCCTTCTCGGCGTCGACGTGAATGTACTCTTTCTCGACTTCGAGTTGTCTGATCTTATCGCCTGTGCGGAGATTGGCGAGTTGTTGGGCGAGGATCTGCTTAACAGCGGGCTCATTGACCCTTCCGGATGATTGTGAGTTGCCCATGATGAAAGTCTGCGGCGATGCAAGGTCTGAGGACAAGAGGGTAATGATAGTATTCAGGCAAAGGAGTCGCAGGCTGCAACGGGGCTGGGTGTTATGAGGACCTTGTGGTGCATGCGGAGGGACTATTGATAATGATAACGATAAGGGAACAAAGGCGATATCGGTCCGTCTCCGCAGTTGTCGAGACCCACATTTACCTACTCCTCTTTGAGCGACAAGCACAGAAATGAATCAGCCATGTTGAGGACAAAAACCTCAGCAACTTTATTTTCCAATAGACTGTTATTCAATAATGCTATGGAGGAGCAGACTCTTCGATCTGAGACTGGTGAGTAGGCGCGAAACTGTCGCCGTTGATCCGTACATGCACATAGAAAGGTCTTCGTCTGCCACTTCTCCAGTCTGCCTCGACTCCAGACGCCCATTCTGAGCTGCAGATTGATCGTGAATTATCTGCTCCTCACCCCCAGTAGTGTCGCCACTTGTTCAGCACTGTTGCTGTTCGTTCACCATGCATCCCCGTATGTTCTCCGAACCTTTCGATTGCCACCAGTGTTAGTCCAGTCGCCAAGGTCTGTATCGATTGAGTCTCCCCAAGTTTCGCCAGCCTCATTGTGCTGCTGCCGTGGTCCTAATCCATCTGCCAGTGCCAGCTTGTCAGTGTAGTGGGCTTCACGACCGCAGCCGATGCATGTGCCAGGTGTTTCGGGATCGACCACATCCAGGCCGTAATAAGGACATCTGTCATAAGGACAGTTGTCATAAGGACAGTGGCAATAGTTGGGAGCATCAAGTCCGCTGTGGCTTGCCCGACCGTTGTTGACTGCACCAGTGCGTGTCGGCTCATTGTGGCTGTTGAAATTGGCAGCATTGCTGATCGGCGGAAGATATGCTACGTTCCCTGCACGCTTGAAGTTCGAAGCGGTCCGTTGGCTGTCGTGACCCTTGATGCCAGTCTGGCCTGATGCCTCATTGAGGAGCCAAGCACTGAACTTCGCCACGAGATCAGCATGGTTTGAACCGCCAACATCATTGACGAAGTCTTGGGGGTGCTGAGTGTTCACATGCTGACCACTGATCGAAGAAGTGATGATTGGCGATGGAGCCGCTTGTGATGGAATTGGCGGAGCGGCCTCAGTTGGCGGTTCGGGGATGGTCGACTGTGTCGGAGTTGCGATGACCGATCGTTCAGTGCTTGATGACTCCTCGGGCTCCCAGTGGGACTGATCTACGCATACTGACTCATAATCTGGATCAATCACGCATGGCTCAGCAGGATTACCATCCGCTTCGCTCCGAGCCACCTTGAATGCATTGTCGTCAATCAATCGGGCATGAGCTGCGTTGTGTCAGTGTTGGCGGAGGCAAATGATTGAATCAGAAGACTCACTGAGGTGGAAGGTACGATTCTCTGAGAGATAGCAGCTCTCCTCGATGCCACTGTATGCTGTATCCACCTCATACTCATACATCAGTCCGTGATAGCAGAGGTCCGAGCAGATCGATTGTCCCCATGTTCCCTGTGGATGGTAGGTCTTCTTCTGCATGAGAGCTGAAGCAAGTCCAGAAGCGACGTTCTTGTGAATGTTGAGGAGTCGATGCCAGGCGTTACGGTCTGCGCTCTTTTCCACCCAGAACGCGACATGGCGGACGATGTACTGCCTCATGCAGTTCCACTTTGCTGACGGCTCATCGAATACACTTCTGATGAAGTGGTCACTCGGAATACTTGGCTTTTCTGGAGAGAACAGTTTCTCAAGTTCACCCACAGCAAGCCCAGGCAAACTACCAGTTCGGAGTTTCTCACCAAGTTGCAATACTCGCCACCAGAACAAGTCCGGGTAGGATTCATGTCCTGCCTTCATGTACCGAGAGATGTTGTCGGGAATGCGTCCAGAATAAATCCAGTCGCGGAAGAGCGAGAACAACAATGGATCTTCGTGTGGGAGAACAATTTTCTTGCATCCGTCGCAGGAATTCCAATCACCGCCCTCGACTCGAATAGCATTGAGCGCAGAAGGAAGCCGGTGGCTGGAGCCTTCCTCGAGGTAGTCGCGGAACACGGGGACGGCGGTGAATAAAAGTTCACTGTGTATGGTGAACTCTTTGCGTTCTGTACCGACGATAACAGTGACCACCTCAGTGCCGTAATCGCCCTGAGGTGGCTCAATGGGAGCGAGCATACCCAGAACCATGATGATTGTGCGGCACTGAGATTTTGACAGGACTGGAGGAATGAAGGAAGGGTGTATGAGAAGGAAAGAGGAAGAGAGGAAGTTAAGAGAGGAAGTTGGCGTGGGAGAAGGAAATATTTATAGGACAGGACCTGCACTGGGAGGGGAGAGTGACAATGAGGCAAGTGCCGCATGTGAAGGGAAAGGTGAATAAGAGGGCGAGGTGACGCGGCAAAAGAGTGACAGTAGATGCATGAAGTGAATGGACGAGGGAGGTCCCTATAGTGTTTGTCAGTCAAGTGAGGAAATAAGTGACAATTGACAAACCTTTTCAGAAGCATGTGGTATCATGGAATGAGCGCGAGGGTGAGGCTCGTATTTAGACGAGGCAAGAGGAGACAATGGCGAAGGAGTGAATGTTGGAATAGACAATCAGTCAAGCACAAACACTGTGTGATGGATTAATCAAATGATAGTACAATCAATCGTGTCCTCGCCATGGTTCATCTCAACAATGATCTTCGTATGCCATGCTATCTGAATGTCCAGCGCAATTTCGTGGGTGAAGGACACAGCTCAAAGCCATAGACTGTGTCTGTCATCGGCAAATCCATTGATGCCCAACAGTAAGCTTCATACCATGCCAACCCACGAGGGGAGAACGAGACGAAAGTCAAGACGTTTCGAGGTGTTTGATCGTGAAGCGTAACGAGCGTGATGCACACCATCACCGTTTTCTCCTCGGGGCAACGCCGGGAGCAGACCAGTGTGCGTATGGATCAACTGGAAGATGGTGCAGGCCGAAGGACGCGTCCTTGTTCTTGTGTTTGATTTGTGCAAGACCTGCTATATGTGAGCCACAGATCGTAGCTCCTGCTGATGACACAGAAGGCATACCTAGTACTTTTGACATCTTGTCCTGATCCAGCTTCTCATCTGCAATTCGTGCTTCCCCTGCCAGTTCGGCAACGTTCAGTCCTTGTTTTGCCGCAAAGCCTTCCTCGTCTGAAGGATGTGTATAGTCGATTTCCCTTACAGCTGCGGCTACGAGGTTGCTGGCCACTCCCAAAGTAAAATCTGGGTGCACGGAGAAAAGGCCGACCCAGATGTCAGGTTGTTCCGACTTAGGCATCCAGTAGACCACGTGTCCGATGAGGTGTTCCTGTATGATCTTCAACCCATCCTGTTGGAACGAAGCTTGGATGCAGTCGACGCTAGGGATCGTAGGCAGAAGAGAGTTGAAAATGCTGGTAATTTGCTTAAGGGCTTGCAGCTGCAGTCCAGGAATGATCAGACGATCGGCAAACGAATACACCTTCAGCCAGAAGTCGTCTGGGTGCCATTCGATTCCCGTGCGTGGCCCCGACCAGGTCGTGGTGTCGAAGTGCCCCGAGTTGAGCCAGTCAATGAAGACGTTGAACACGGCGATTGTCTCCTCTCCCAGCTCAACTGTCTTCACTTGACCTTTGTCCCATTTCTTGTGCAGAGCTGCGCGAAAGAATTTGGAGGCTGCACATAAAAGATTTTCGTCCGCCACAAACTTTTGCTTCGACTCACCAACAAGGATTGTTACTATTTCGTGTGTACGGTGAACTCACGGAGGGTCGCTGTCCACAACAGCTTCGGGAGGTATCATCTTCGCAGGAAGCCAACGATTGTGAGAAGGCAAGGAAGTTACGCGTTGATCTTGAGGGGATTCTTGATATCAACAATTCGGGAGTGGAAGAAAGGACGAATGATAATCTCGTGACGAAAAGAAAGTGTCAAGAAAGAAGACAGAAGTCAAAAGATGCCCAACGTACGATATCGAAAAACATGCCTGAAGTGAATAATATGTAACTCCTGTACTTGGGCTGTCAAGTGAATACTCAAGTCATTGGAACACGTTGGCAGTTGACTTACACTGCCCTTGAACGCCACACACCCATCACTGCGCTCTAGCAACATTCACCTATGGATAGGACATCTGCCCTGGCGAGATATACCGTTCCTTGGTCTTGGGATCGGTTCCAGTCAACCGGACAATCGACTCTTTATCCTCCTGAATCAGTGTGCAGCAGCCACAGCACCACGAAGCACAGAAATCGCCAAAGGAGCCGCCCTCGATGCCGTATTTCTCCCGGATTTGGCCTCGGTTCATGAATTGAAGAATACATGCAGCGCCGAAGCACGAGGCTGCGTACCAAGCCATACACTGTTCAATACGGTACTGTCAGCAAGAGTCCATATGCAGAGAAAAGCAGAAACAGAGGAACAGAAAGAGACGTACCGAGGTATTCACGCCGCTGGCATCGGGATCTCCATGCTCCCTAGCATAGGTCTTGCCGTACAATATACAAGGGCACCAACAGCCCAGGCAGCCTGACATGGAGAGTCAGCCTTGTGCTCTGATAGGGATGCTATCGTTCAACTTTTACTCACATGTGTCCACGGGCGAGCAACAGTCGAAGAGGCCAAATGTCCATCTCCCAGGAGCTCCCGGAGCGATGTGGCCTTGAGGGTACGCTGAGGCTTGAGGCTGACCATTGAAAACACCGTTTGGGCCGCCTGGAGCAGGAGAGCCCATGGCGGGCTTTTCGGCCACGAAGGGCTCCTGTTTGTACTGTTGCTGCTCCATTGTGGTGAATGGTGCTTGAAAGGGTATGAAGGCAGAATGGACGACGCAAGAGATGTTTGAATGCAAGACTCGAAGGAAAGCGATGGCCTTCAGGTGGACACTGGGACTTTAAACGATACTGGACGAACATGTGGAACGTGGCAAGTTCCATGCGCATATATCAAAAGTGCACGAGCGAATAATTTCCGTAGGCCAAGGATCAGTGCGTCCGGCAGCCCTGGTGATCATGAAGGCCTTGATCCTTTCCTGTTCGATGCTGGCCTCAGCTGATATTGGGTTTTGTTCCCATCGAAACTCGTTTAAGAAGGCACGGCGCATTGGCAATCTGTCTTGGAGGAAACCCTTTTGGGGCTTCATCGCCTTGTCAGGCACTGGCCAAGAATGACCAGTGCGATTGGAGGATCTTGTCGGAGATACTCCGTACAAATAAGAAACATAGATTAAGCGATAAGGCGATTATCACATAGTGCTCCATACAGCAACCGAGCTGAAAGAGCCTCGTATGAAATAAGGCGAGAGCGTTCCACACATCTGAAACGGGATGAGGTTGGCATCAAGGGATGAAAAGAGTTCTCCGTATGGATGTGGAGATTTGATAGTGTGGAACTGGAACGAAGGCGGAGGTCCAAGTGTCAAAAAGACCCTTGACTCGTTCGTTACTTGGGACCTCCAAGATCTCCACGGTCCACCAATATTGGAGTCAGTCACTTCAGGAGGTCCATGCTCTCAGGTCAGCCTTATGAGCTAGATTCATGGATGTAACTCATTCAGCTAAGTTATCGTAAAAACAGTAGAAGAAATGCTTTATCAAGCGTTGTCTCTTCTAGCGGTGGTGGTCAGGCTGGACACAAAGCCCATGGCTACGGTTCTGTTCGAAACCCATTGGTGCGACTGGCCCCTTGTGTCAGGTGCAACAAGGCGTACTGTGGTAAGCACAGTATGTCACCCCGATTCAAAAGGAGGCCGTGGCTTTTGGTGATAATGTAAAGCTGAGACCCCACATTTGGGGTCGAAATGCATTTCCTCCTGCAAGGCAAATGCATGCCAGAAATAGATTCAACCTCTGGAGACGTGAACCTTTCAGCCGTGTCGACCACACCAACAAGAGGGGTGGGTATGGGTGTGCACGGGTGTAGCGCAGACCAATCTCTGTTCACCAGTTGTACTAAATCTCAGACTTGGACGACAGTGCACAAGATCATCTGGCACTTGTTCTCGAAGGCGCATATCATCCAAATAAGGCTGAGAGACGTGGCGTTTGGGGCGGGCGCAAAAACGCGGTGACTGGCAATTCGCCCCTGCAGACTCATGCACGGTGTACCTCAACAGAATGCCTGTCGTTTCCTGATGGGCCTTCGGACTTTGACCACGTTCAGGGACACGCCCTCCTCAAGATGCATGGTGTAATACATGTGCAGGGTCGGAGGCATCTGAATGGACAACGAGTCCGTACCCTTGCCCAATGTTGCCAGAATGAGTAGATGAGGATCCGGCACTGGAGAATGAGCGTGTCGCTTCCATGATGGGACCGGTCCGGTCATGACCTGCGGGAACAGTAATGATGGACCGCAGCCACCATAAATGTGACTTTTTTCAGAGAACAGAGCCAGGTAGATTTCCAAGTTCACGATGCCTTGGAGCCATTTGTTCCATTCGTTGTCGCTTTGGCCTTGTCGAACTCTGAGCGCATTGTCTCTATGACTTTCTGGATTTTATCCTCGCCTTGCTCACCAGAGAACCTGTCGTCAACTTCTTCGATCACCAAGGATAAGAGTTGTCGGTCATCTGGCTCCTCTTGAGCATCTTCTGCTCCTTCTTCGTTTGGTTCTTCAGCGTCTCCATTTGTTTCTGCCTCTTTTTCAGCAGGCTGATTCCTAGGCAGTCCAACTCCTAGGTTGATCAGGACAAGAGCCTCGGTTTTCGTGACACCTAATGACCGAAGTCTTGGTACTACCGCTTTGACAAAAGTCTCGGGAGGTGGGAAGGTCTCAATATATGGTACGGTGGTTGTGACATAGTGTTGGAGCTGCGGCTGTTTTAGTAGATTCCTCCAAGGGCCATAATGAGTATGTCATACATCGTCCCGGACTCGCTGGTAGTTCTTGAGATTCACAGGCTGGTAGGACCCGACCTTCTTGGCCGTCTCTCGCGGCGGATTGCTCGCAAGGAAGCGATGGACTTCCGAGTTTGTAAGTATGGCCGACTGAGGATCGAGCACCTAGACAATGCGGTGGACAGTCAGTCTCATGATTGAGAGAGCAGATCGCGGATCCCGCTCTCGCCAGCGCAGCCTAGGTTGACCAACCTTCATTTTGTCGCTGCGCAGAGTGCCAGCAGTTGCGGTCCTTGAACTTTGCCTGAGTTTCTGAGGCCTGCTTACTGCAGGCAAGAAGGATCACGAAAACTTTGGAGGCTCCAGGAGGTGCAACAACATGGCTCATACCGCCCACGCATGCGACATGCAACAGTGTGTGAAGCTGGACTTCGCGTTGGAGAAACTTTCTGCGGAGAATGCATCTGTAAAATTATTTCGCCGGAGAAAGGCCGGACAGTCATGAGTGCTCCGCAGAGAACGATTAGATTATAAGAGTCTAGTACAAGTACATTGATTCATTGAGACGACATGCAAGCATTAGTTGGCGCCGCACATGTACAAAGACTCGGCTTGCAGAGAGTTGACTACGCCCTCTGAAGTGGTACACCTTCCTCCTGAACCCTTTTCATCATCCAGCACCCAAACACCAAATCCGACGCCATGCAGAAGAAGACGATGCTAAAAACAACAGCAGGAACGAACAAAACCGTCAAAATGGATTACGACTTCTCTTTCCGCTTCTTTTTCGTTTCCGATTTTGACGGCTCAGTCTCAGTCTCATCCTCTGTCCGCTTCCGCTTCTTGTTTCCTTCCGAGTCACCATTGGCTGCTGACTTCTCTGCTGACTTCTTGGCCTTCTTGATATCCTTCTTCGAGATCGCAGTCGGTACACCGTCTTCGCTGAACTGAATTTCGCCCCGCTCAAGCTTCCTCTTGTATCGCTCAACACTAAGACCACATTGCGCGGCCAAAGCTTCCAACTTGGTCTCCTCGTTCGCGGCCTCCTTGTCTCCCTTCTTTTCTTTCTTGCCGTCCTTGCGAGCAGCTTTTTCTGCATGTTTCCGGTCCTTTGCCGCTTTCTTGGCAGTCTTGTCAGATGCTCCATTGATGCCGTTGACCTTTGATGGCACGATGGCGGCAACCTCATCCGAATCTATGGACTCATCGGGTTGCGACTCGGACTCGTCCTCGTCGTCATCACCATCTGCCATCGTCTTGTCCTCGGAGATCTCTTCGATGAGTTTCTTTTCCTTCTTCGACTTCTTCTCCTTGGCAGGTGCCTCGTCACCGGCGAGCCCATCAGCGTCCGGATTGTATTTCCGAGCTTCCTTGATCTCCCACTTCTTGGGTTGCGCTGTTGCTGGCGTTCCATTCGGGCCAATGGCCACTCCTCTGGGCTTGAGGGGCTTGCCCTCCATAGCCGCAAGCTTGCGCTCGAGATTGGCACGTGCTCCCAAGCCAAGAGCAGCTTTCTCGTCCTCCGGGATGTTGGCTTCGTCGTCACCCCAATCTTGTAGTGCGTCGACTCTCAGACCAAGAGCTGCCTTAGCAGCGAGTATTCTGGCCATCTTGCCCTTGTTCTTTCCTGATGCCTGGCCAATCAGAGAAGCATGGTAAATGAGACCATATTTGGGAGTGTCGTGTTTCGTCTTCAGTGCTCGGAAGAGCGCCTTTTCGGCTCCGAGTATTTGAATTGTACTTGCCGGGCTCTTTGAGAGATTCAACAAGCTTCCTGCGTGTGCAATAAGCCGAGCACCAACAAGCTCGCCCACGAGGGTGGTCAAGTTTGGAGCAATTGCAGTCATTCGTGCTGTCAGGTAGCTCGACAGTTGCGTCCTGTACTCCGTGAATGCCACCACTTGCTCCGCCAACATCTGTATGTTCTCAAGATCTTCATCCGTGATCTCTGTGCCCATAGACCTGTCTGCGGCTGCCTTGACGGCTGCCTCAATCTCTTCGGGGAGGATATCGGCAAGATCGCAGTTCTCAAAGTTTGTGCGCATACCCATCTTCAACACGACTTTGGCATAGGCGAGGTTGTCGTTGAGGATCTTTGCCATTTCTGGAAAATGCCACCCATACCACTCTTTTACTCTCATGGAGTATGTGTTCAGCTCTTTGTCCAGATCGTCCAGCAGCCCTATTGCTTGGACGATCATCACATCGATCTTGTCCGGTGAGAATTTCAGTTTGTGTCGTGCAAGCGAATGTGAGAGACCCAAGGACATCGTCTTGACATCATCCGGCATCAAACCCGGGATCAGAGAGGGCAAGTGTTCTCGAATGGCTCGGTAGAGCTCGGCGGTGGTGGAGTCGGCGACAGCTTTGATCTCGAGACCTGGGATTTTTCCGATCGCATTGCCCAGCTTTGGGTCTGCAACCGCCAGGGAGATCTTCTTCTCATCCTTGAGAGTGTCCAACAAGGCAGACAATTTAGGTGTGACTTTGCCCTCCACAATAGCTGCTGCTTCTTCGAGTGCCGCCGCCGCACTGTCAAACTTCTGGAACTCCTTCAGTTTGAGCAAAGAGGTAACATTTTCGATAGAGCCCAACTCGGAAGCTAGATCGTCACGTTTGAGGAGCTTCTTGTCTTTTGCTTTGAGCAGTGCATAGCCGGCGGCCGTCTCGGTAAGGATAAGAAGTGTCATATTGATATTTGCGCAGTGGGCGCCGGTAGCGAGGCGTTATTGTATACAATTAAAAAGGTCTTGCGAGCGAATCTCGTTTCCATCTCCAAAAAATCAGAAGCAGCTTGCATTTTTCCAGACCCACCTTGCGCCAAGTCTTCAGAAAGGGCAGGTGTGGCGGGCGGGCCGCAGCTTGCTAGGGACCAGTTCCAGTTCGCCATGCCTACAGGTAGCCGTCGAGGACATCATTCAACGCTTCTGGCCTTTTTATCGTTCATAGCAATTGTCCAACCTGTTACAAGCGCCACCCGAAAGCTACATTGTTAGTCGAAGCTCTGCAACTCCAAAGGATATAAACATGGAGGGTATGCGGCGCCCTTAAAATCGACGACATCATAGTTACTGACAACTTGCTCCAGGTCTTCTGTTCAACGTCAACGGAGGCTATCTGGAGGGCATAGTGCGAGGGTACCGAAACACACTGTTGACGAGCACGAACTATAGCAATGTATGATGTCCTCTAATTCGACAGATTGCATATTGTTGACGAAACACAGCTCACGCAATGTGAAACGATCGACGATGTCAAGACACAGCTGGGCCCTGCCTACGGCGAGACCTTGTCATCACTCCCTCCAAATCCATCAACCTCCGCGCTCGCAAGCAAGACTACCGAGAAACTGGTCGCAGATTTCAGATACCTTCAAGGGCAGGCGACGGGATCATTAGCCAAGTTCATGGAATACCTCACATACTCTTACATGATCGACAATGTCGCACTCTTGATCACCGGTACTCTTCACGAACGTGATACAAAGGAGTTGTTGGAGAGATGTCATCCGCTGGGTTGGTTTGAGACCATGCCGGTACTCTGCGTGGCCACCAACATTGAAGAACTATACAACTCCGTGCTCATCGAAACACCGCTGGCTCCATATTTCAAAGGCAGTCTCAGTCACCAAGATTTGGACGAGCTCAATATCGAAATTGTGCGGAACACGCTGTACAAGAACTATCTAGAAGACTTCTATCACTTTGTTAACAACGACCCGGAGATGGCACTAACACCTACTGGCGAAGTCATGTCCGAGATCCTTGAATTCGAGTCAGACAGACGGGCCATCAACATCACGATCAACTCTTTCGGAACGGAGTTGACAAAGGAACAGCGGAGGAAGCTGTATCCTGAGTTCGGCAAACTGTACCCCGAAGGCATGTTGATGCTCTCGAGAGCCGAGGACCTGGAAGGTGTAGGCCTCGCCGTCAGTGGTGTTGGGGATTACAAGCGATTCTTCGACGAAGTTGGGTTCAACCAGCAGGGTGGTGGTGTTGGCGGTGGTAACATGTCAGGAGGCATGGGGAACGAGTCCAAGTCTTTGGAGGACATGTTCTACCAGAAGGAAATGGAGCTTTCTAAGTTGGTCTTCACACGGCAATTTACCCACGCTATAATATATGCTTGGGTCAAACTAAGAGAACAGGTTTGTTTGACAACATTACTCAGAGATTAAGAAACTAACGATTGCTGCAGGAGATTCGAAATATCACCTGGATTGCCGAATGTATCGCTCAGAACCAAAAAGAGAGGATCGGCAGTTATATCAGCGTGTTTTAAGAAGAAGAGTGTACAACAAATCTCATCAATTGAGCAGCACGGCGTTCGGTAGAGGGAGTCCTGAAGGCCTTGCCAGTATGATAGCCACAGGTCTAATGAGCATCGATTTCAACCACGACTTCCCTGAACTTTAAGCATGCCAATTGTGAGGCAGGTCCGATATTGTCGTTGGGTTTCTTCACAATTTTGTCCTACTTCTCAGATCGTGGTTGCCTCTTCGAAAGCTCTTCGATCACCTCTCTCAACTTGAGAATCCTGCATCTCTAAACTTTCACACATCGACATAAACTCACTGGCTTTCCTTCATTCATTTGAGCCATATTTACTGCTACGATACTCTTAGCTGCTTCATTATCTACATTCCGCAACGAAGCCATTCTCGATCCGCCTTTCGGAACGCAAAACCATCTCTTCATCTCAATTTGCTACACCGCAACCATGCGTATCAACCCTCACTTCGGGAAACTGCCAAAGCTCAGATTTCGGAGGGAGTCACCAAACAGTCCCTGGAAATTTGTCACGAGAGTCTTTGAATCAAGCCAGGGACATGCTCGCAGCCCACAAGCAGAAGACCACCACCTTGCGTTGGAGTCACAAACATTCAAGCAGGAGGACCAGGCTGAAGAAGAAACATGCAAGATCCCACTGGAAATACGCTCATTCGTGCAGGAGGATCCGGGTGAGCTAGAAACACCTAAGATACTAGAGAAAGTCAAACGGGAATCACCTGCGGTTCCGGATCAGGTCGACAGGGCATCACCCACAACCCCATTGGACTTACAATTATCCATACAGGAGGATCCTGTGAAACGCAAAGCGCTCAGGGTCTCAGACATGATCGAACGTGATCCAGCCACGGTATCAGAGGAGGTCCACCGGGCATCATTTCAAGTTCCAAAAAGAATCAAGCGGGCACCAAGCACAAACCCCAAAAAGATCGAACGGAGACCAACTCCAGTCCCGGATCAAGTCGAACGTCCTCGCAAGCAACGCTCACTCGGACCACAGATCGACTCTTGTGTGATCCCCAAACACCTTCGAGATACGGTGAAGCGAGATTACTGGGACAAAAACTTCGGCCGGGATTCTGTCAAACAAGGCTATCTCGATGAAGATGTCACCGATGAGAAGCTTACAGGGCACTACCTGCTATCCGCCCGTCAGGATCCCAAACTGGAAGTTGTCAGATATTCCAGGGTCTCGAGGAATGGCAGGATCGAAAAGCCTGAGCTTCGAAAGAAACCACTATACCACCGCGGCGAATTCCCGGAAGAGTTGGACAGTCCTACGTTGTCATGGGCTATAGCGACGGCCGAGAATAAATAGTTGAAACGTTCTGTGGCGAGAGCTGAACGGCTTGACGATCAGCTTACCAACGAAGGAGGCCTTATGTCTGCGCTGAGACAAAGGCGTTCAGGTTAGCACTTTGAACCGAGAAACCTACATTGTCGGCTTAACCAACGAGCTGTCCCAGATCCGAAACTAGCAAATGAGTATGAGGGAGCCTTTAAGCAGTGGGATTCAGATTTGGCGAGGAGTATTCCGGGTTATCACGACGACTACCGGAAGAGACACTGGTTTATGTCGATGCGGGACCGGCCATCTCTGCTGCCGATAAGGGATCTGTTGCGAAATTGATTAGGTTTCAGCGCAGTGTTTCCTGGTGCAGCATTTCATAGTCTATGTAATACATCTTTTCGCCTGCTATATGGCTTTGTGCACGCAAAAGCAGTCGCTTGCTGTCAACCTGCAGTCCTTCACACACAACAATATAGCTTTGACTCTTGACGGTGGTGAAGCTCATCAGCACTATCGTATGGAACCTATGTCTTGTGGTGTGAAGGCACCCACTCTTATGAACCTGCTCGAACTCGAAATTATATCGTCGATGTCCTCCGTATCAGACGATGCCGCTTTTTGTGAAAACGGCCTGACCTTAATTGTTCACAGGCTCGTAAGTAGGCCCTTTGCCCAGACCAAGCTTGCTCATCTTCTTCATTTCTTTCTTGTCCTGCCTCTCCTGCTTCTTAGCCACCTTCTTGTCCTTTTTGGCCTGTTTCCTTTCCTTGTCTTGTCCGGAGAAATCAGAGCCCGGACCCTGCAACAATTTCCCGGGATTCCAGACATTCAAGACGGCGAGAGCGCAGAACATGGGCACCGCGTCGAAGACATAAGCGAACCATTCGTGCGTGACGGTCGGCGAGTTAGCACCCATAGCGAACTCGATAAGTCTGTACAGATTTCGGAGGATGATGAGCGTCATGACGATGTACAGCGTGCGAAGTAAAGGTCTGGCGAGACCGGCGTCTGGCATTGCGGGTAACGGAGATGGAGATGGCATTCTGTTCGGTGATCCATTGTATGTTGCAAGACGTGTGGTGCTCTCGATATCGTTTGGCGATCGGGAATGGTTCTTGAGCTTCTGCTGGAAACCGATGGCTAGAGAGACGAAGATGACCAAAAACCCTAGTTGGACGCCCACGCCTGCGGTGTAGATGTCAAGACCGAGCTTCTGTGTGGAGTTGGAGGAGCCAGGGCCGGTCATCGTGCCTCCGGTAGCTTGAATCAGGAACGCCGTGATGTCGAAGCAGACGAACATTCTCGTGATGAGGCGTGCTTTGATCTTGAAGACGCGGTCACTCTCCAAGAAGAAGTGGATCATGCGTCCTAGGAGCATGTAGATGTAGGCGTTGATCCAGAGAGGGGCGAGGAGGATCAGGAGGAGTTGACCCGTGTAGATGCCGCTGGTCAACGGGTTGTAGATGGATATGATGCGGACAATGTAGCCTCCTGTCTCCCAGAGGGCGCCCATGCTCAGAACCCATGCGAAGGGCTTGCGGTAGAGGAATGCTTGGGTGATGTGTGCTGTGCTGGTGATGCCGAAGAGGACGGCGAAGAGGATTGCTGCGGCGAGGGAGGGGCAGTATGACCATACGTCGTTGGGGCCGGTGCCTGCAACGCATTGTGGCATGTTTGCGTGATTGTGAGTGATAGATAGAGATATGCTGTTGATATTTCAGGGTGCTGGCTCAAGGTATTGGAGGGAAATCAGGGTTTGGGAATGAAATGCTGGCTCTGCTTGGTCGATGGGGGTGGTGGCAAAGCAGAGGAGATGAAGCATATTGATATAGCTTCTCAATCCTGTGTACTTGAAGCATTGCAGATGCTGTAAATAGTTGCCTGGCACGTCGACTTACCTGTTCGAGTATGCTAGACGACGCCTTACCTTTTCGCTAATTGACAACAGGCATGAATAAAGAGAGTTACGGAAGAGCAAGGCTGTGCGGACAGTCGACGCGTCTGTCTATTGGTACCCTCGGACCCAAGCCTTCCACATGGCAAAGTCACAGAGTTAGCGCATACGAGTCAACGAGTCGGGGGATAAAATCTGCCCCGGATGGGCGAGGCAACTAGATATGGTGAGTGAGGAGTGGAAGCTGAGAAGTTCGGCAGGCCACGTCAAGGGCTGACCGAATCTTCCACAGGGGAGCTTTACCTACAGATCAGGTTAGCCTTAACGAGGGACCGCCGTTAAGCATTTCCCTGGGGGCTTAGTCAAGCGGCCAAACTGCACGTCTATGCTTGATAGTACTCCATTACGTGGTGGCCTGAAAGATACGAGTACGATTCATGATTGTTGTTCCCACCCATTCATTCAGATTCTGGTGATTGTGTCGCCAGTCAAACATGCGCTGTCAAGGAGTAATGGTCAACTTGCTCCCGGAGCGATGGATTCATCCTATGCGCCTCGCAATACCTCTTACCCAGCAATGGTTTGCCCCGGCACATTGACAATTCATTGTTACGGCCGGTTGAGTGTCGAAAGCGCATCTAGTGCTGCAGAAACCTTCAGAGGCCATAGATTCCAGGCCGTCTACGAGACCTTGCCCTCATGCCGTCGTGACTCAGCACCGCCAGTCTCCGCACTAAGTTAGTGATCATCTCGACTTTCGACTGATGGTAGTCTTGCTCCTAGCGCCTGCTCAAACAAAGCCAAACCAAAACTGTATATGTACGATGCCATTCCGCAATGATCCCAAGGTTACAGACATGCATAACTCCAGGGTACAGCGGCTCAACGATACCAGTGCCGCGGGAAGCGGTACCACACGGGAGAGCAACTTGGGTTATCTTCTCCGTCGCGCCCGAGCCCTGTTTGCTAGCTGTTTACATTAAGACGGGCATGACGGGTCATGCTGACTGGTGATAATCTTGACGTTGCCAAAGACTCCCCCTTCTTAACCTCTGTACTCTACTTGTTGAGGTCAGCGACGTCAGGAATCGGACGACGTTTCCGAATTATCAAATATGTACGGATCCTTCCCGTCGTTTTAGACTGCAATAGTATGAATGTGGTAATGGCTTACCACGGCCGTCGATTTGTCAGGCTTGGGCATTTGTGGCTTTGTTGTTGTAAGAGGTGGCAGGCGTCACCATGTCAATGCTTTCTTTGCAGCCCTTTGGCGTGCCTTCTCAATCTGTGAGGCGAAGCGAGGACTCTGTCATTTCTCGAGGAAAACCTCCTCAGTGTCATTGATTGGGGTCCACGATGAAGACCTCGGGTCGACGACGACACTCGACATAGTAGTGCTTCTCCCCACAGAAGCACTTCGGCCGTAGCGATCCTCAGCCCAATTTTCAGATACAAACGAGGCTTAGCGATGCGCATCTCAGCCTTGCTTGTGGGGACGAAGATCTGGAGTGCTCGTATCGTCTAACCTTCTTTGGCTAGCATTGGGGGCCTTGTTGATGACAAAGTTCAATACTGCATGTCTCGTTGTACGCTTTCCAGGCTCCAAGCCTTTCAGCTTCCCTCAGGTATGCGGAAATAATGTGATGGGGGCGCAGCGGCAGATGTTTTGAAGATCTCCATGCTGTGAAGCTGTAGCGCAAAGTGCTGAGCGAACATTCCAAAGTCCAAACGGTCTCCTGCTCTGCCAGGCCCGACATGTTGTTTTCTGATGGCGTTTTACCTCGAACTTCTCATCTGAATCACAACAAAGCACAAACCTCGGAAACAAGCTCCCGTTATCCATTTGCATGGGAGCCCATCCTTACGGAAGGAATGAATCCATCGCCATGATTCGCATAGGCACGCACAAGGTCCGGACAGGCTGCATCACCTGCAAGTAAGTCCACCGTCCCGTCTCCATCCCTCCTTTTCGCCATTGTTGTGCGCCACGAAAGGGGATCGTCTTCTGACCATACGCCATCGCAGACGCCGACACGTCAAGTGCGACGAAGGCCGCCCTCGATGCGCCCGGTGCATCAAAGCAGGCCGAGCATGCGAAGGCTACGCAAATAGTCCAGGATCCGGCGAGCCCTTCAAATTCGTAGTCTACACCCCACACGGTGGCAGCCACTTACTCTCTGGCGATCCCGATCTCGATTGGTCAGAACGCCGCTCGCTGTCCTACTTTCAGGATCGCACCGCTCTGGAGCTGGCAGGCGGCTTCCACACGGACTTCTGGCTATCCAGCATTTTGCCGTTGGCACAACACGAGGTCTCGGTGCGGCACGCGCTGATCGCCCTGAGTAGCATGCACGAGCACTACGCCGGGGTCGATCACTTTGCGCCCACACGCGGGATTAACTTTGCGCTAGATCATTACGGCAAGGCTATACGAGAAGTCGTACGGCTCAACCGGTCACCAGGCGGCCAGAACTTTGATTCAGCGCTGGTCACGAGTGCCCTGTTCTCCGCCTTCGAGAGTCTCCAGGGCCACTATCATACCGCGTGCAACCATGCCATCTCCGGCATGAAGATGCTTGCCGAGGAGCAGCGCAGCATCGGCCTAGTCGGACCCAGACATGCGCGTGTACCTCGAGATGAACTTGTACGCTTCTTCACCGCGACGGGCCGCCAGATCCTCGAACTGGGAGATCCGAACTTCCATGGTCCAAGACCGGCGTTGATGCAGGGCCGTCCATCTATGCCCGATAAGTTCACTTCGTTCGAACAGGCCATGTTGCATATGGAATTGATGTTGACTGATCTGTTCGAATGGGCGGAACAAGCCGACAGCCTTGCCATGAAGGGACCCATCGCTGAGGATATCGGCAACCAATTGATGCTGGAGTACGTCAAGATCAAAGAGTACTCCACCAGGTGGTCTGCTGCCTTCACATTGCTTGTGAGCGAGTTCGAGAGCTCTAGCCCTGGATCGACGTCGTCTGAAGAAACAACACCAGTTCCTAGACCTCCGCCGCCGACAGCACTGCTGCTCAAGTTGTATCAAGCGCTGCTGACAGCATTTCTCCGCCGAATCGAAGTGGCCGACGAGAAGGTTCTCAAGGAATACACTTCTGACTTCTGGCTCGCCCTCGACCTTGCGGAAGACTTTATCCAGCAAACGTCCCAGCTCGTCACTTCTCCAGTCACGCCTGCCGATAGTACCAGCAGTGCACAGCCCAAGCCTGCTCGGGTGGTTCGTCCCACTTTCTCGCTTGCCATGGGAGTCGTTCCCACGCTTTTCCTCATCGCGACTCGGGGTGGAGATATGGCCGTGCGAAACAGGGCTATTCAACTTCTCAAGACCTGTTACCGTCGCGAAGGCTTCTGGGACTCGCGAATCGCGGCCAGCCTAGCCGAGAGAATTTTTGACATCCAGAAGCTCATCATAGAAAAGTATGGTGAGGACGCACCGGTCGTGTTGCAGTTACTGGATATAGCTTTTATGCCTGGCAGGAGATGTGTCTTCAAATATAGGTTAGAGGGTCCTCATGCGCCGACGGAAGAAGGCAATACACCGCAAGCGTTGTGGGCAGGCCATGCTTCTGCACTTGATAATGGGAAGGAGTATTATGAGCAACTTAAATGGGAAGGTTGATGTCAATTTCCGTTGCATATGGCGTGTACGCATCTAGCGATGGTGTTGGACAAATGGATCATTCAGTGGAAAAGCTCAGAGTTGGAGAACATTGGATCAGAAATTAATGCTCCGGGATGATGGAAGAGTATTGTAATTTCATTGGCACACTCTGCCATACAAACGCCATGAGTTCGAAGACCTTTCCAGCACTTGGTTCAAGGAACTTCTCTGGTCTTGCCGCTGGTATTATCTGTTTTCAGATTTCCTCGCCTCGATGCCCCCTATTGGAGGTGTACCATAGGATGCCATCGGATAAAGTCTGCGATGTGCTGACCACTTGCACGATTTTGTTTACATGGACTTGTTTGTATTGGGAAGAGCGTCGTACTTCGTGTGAAACCTTTGTGCTCAAGTCGATTCATGTCGTGAGATTTCCGTGATTTCCGGTGCTCATAACACAGCACCGTCGCACGTTGGGCTTTGTTGATGATTTGTTGGCTCGATCTAGTCGTACTGGAAGAGGACGCTGATACTCTCTCCATAGTGAACACGTCGAATAGCCTAAAGAAAAATGGTCAGTATGAATCTGCTTCGGAGGCTGCATCTTTGATCATCACTCACCTCGGCAAAGACATGTCCAACCTCGAGGACTTCAAGCTTAGGACATCGTTTGCGATGCTCGGCCTGGTCGACAGAGTTCGTGACTATCACTTTGTCAAGGGCACTGGCATTGATTCTGTCGATCGCGTCACCACTCAAAACCCCATGCGTGACTAAGGCGTAGACTTTGCTGGCGCCTTCTTTCTTCAACAGCTTAGCTGCTCGTGTGATTGTATTGCTGGTGTCGGCCAAATCATCAATCAAAATGGCCAGTCTTCCAGTCACATCTCCTACCAACATCATGGTAGCATTCTGCCTATCGGTGATCTTGGTAGGTCTCCTCTCTTTGTGAATGAGAGCAAACTCAATGCCCAAAGCGTCAGCGATCGCAGTTGCTCGTTTGGCACCACCGGCATCCGGACTAACAATGACGCCGTTCTTGTAGTCGGGAATGTTTTGCTGGATATACTTCTTTAGCAGAGGTCGACCGTAGAGATTGTCGACCGGAATGTCAAAGAACCCTTGGTACTGAGGATCGTGCAAGTCCATGGTAATAACGTGGTCTGCACCAGCGCAGGTGAGAAGGTCTGCCACTAGAGTCCCTGCCTGTGCAACCCATTGTCGGTAGCCAGGGCGAGGCTTGAAAGTCTCTGTAGGGTCCTGCTTAGGCGCTGAGGCGAAGTCGTTCGTTACAACACCGTTGGTCAATGAGGCGGCTGAGTCTCGACGTTTCTTGTTGGGCGACTGGGTGTTGGGCTCGCGATACTGACTGAAACGTGCTTGGTTGGTAGGACTGTTTTCCACTTCATCAAGCTGTGACTTTGATGTCATTCTGCTGAGTGTATGTCCATTTGTCAACCCCTGGCCGTCGTGCTTCTCCGGATGTGGGGTTGGTGGAATACTGTCGAAAGTGTATCCATTGCCATCTGGAACAAGCTTGCTGGTGATGTTTGACGCTTTGATCAAAGGTGCACCGGTCTTATTGTAAGGGACATCCGATTGGCGAGAGTAGGGGAATAGAGGAAGAACTGCGGTCACCTTTTTGGCGGAAGCGGTCTTGCAGGCTGATATGGCAATGAGAAGCTCGATGAAGTGGTCGTTCACCGGTCCACCGCCCGACTGTATGATGTAGACATCTTTACCCCGGACTGATTCACCTATCTCGACGCGCGTTTCTCCGACTGCGAACTTTGAAAAAAGCGCTTGTCCTTGCTCAACGCCGAGCATTTCACATATGGTCTGCGTCAAAGCAGGATGGGAGGACCCCCCAAGGACCACGATATTGCGAACCATGGTGGCTTGTGGTATCAGAGGAAAGCAAGGGTTTTGCTGGTCGGTCGCAGATAGGAACGGGATGAAGATTGACGCGAGCGTGAGGGAAGGTTTCTCAGGAGATAAAGGCTAGGAGTTCATTTGTATATTGAAAAGGGAGGTTGTGCCTGAGCAGCCAGGCATGGAGGCAGTATTCTTCTTCTTGTCGACATAACAAAAAAGTGAATATGAGTCTACACAGACGCAGTGACCCAAGATGGATTTGCTCTCAAGAATCTTTTGACGCGCCCCACCTTCCCCATTTCTTTGACCTGCAGGTGAATTTCCCAAATGGCGTCACTGCAGCCTCAGCCTTGTGCTCAAAGTACTGTACATTCTCCTCAGAAGCGCCCGATTGCATTGGGTTTGATAATTCTGGTGCAACATAGCGATTTCGAATGATATGCCGTAAAGATAACCCGTGGATGATCTGGTATTTGATACAAGCAAGGCGTCTTCGAGCCCTGTCATCTGCCTTTCCAGTGTTCTTCCATCACGTTGCTGCGTTCAATCACCGGTGTCGACTTCCAGATCCAGCTGTACGTTGTTGCTGACACCATAGTCTTGTAAAGTGAGTTGATCTTTGAATGGTCTCTCGCCTTGTCTTTTGAGGAGGATTTCGTGAGGTTGTCGGCCGATCATCGAGGCAACAATGACTTTAAAGTCCTCTGCAACAATTGTCAGCATACTCAGTATTGTGTGGCATGAAATGAACTTACTTATTGGGTCTGTTGCAAAGCAAGGTATAGCCTTTTTCGTGCCCAACCTGTCATTGACATAGACAATGATCATAGGTTGTGTGGGCACTGCAGGCGCAGGCTTTTTTTCCCTTTTCTCCTTCTTCTCTTTTCTCTCCGCGTCATCGCGAGGTCTCTCGGGTCGGTCGCTCTCCATGTTATCTCTTCTTGGAGATCGTCTTCGAGGAGGTGGAGAACGGGATCTTGATTTGGGCCGGTAATGATCACGGTATCCTCGCTGTAGTCCTGCATCACGGTTGCCCCGAGAGTCGTCCTCCTCCCGTCGCTTCTCCTTCCATTTGAATCCTGTGTCTTTGCGCCGAGATCGATCTTCGCGCTTGTCTCTGTCTCGACGAGGAGACCTGCTTCTGCTCCGTCTGCGACCCTCGCCACTGCCACGTTCTCGCTCTTTCCTGTCAGTATTGGTAGTAGGGGAGGATGAGGTGACAGTCTCACGCTGTTCATCGGCCATCTTGAAATATGTTTGCAGTCGCTCACGTTGTGGTGAGGCTGTGTCAGGTCAAATCATCTCGCCGTGCAAGGCCAGAGAAAATCCAGCGGCGGCCGGGACAACTCCGGCTGTGACCCCCCATCAATTCATCAAGGCGCGTAACCAACCTGCTGCTCCCCAAAAAGCACGGAGTATGGAGTACAGCCTCCGGGGATCACTGATCAGCCTCAAGTACGGAGATTGAGGTCTTCATTTGGGCCTCACGACGAGGAACACCATACCTTCCTCAATACAGAAATACAACGATGCTCACTGGCAAGGCCCAGTATCTGGAAGTACATCTCCCAAGCCCAACGACCGTGTCCTTTGCCGTCGCTACACGTCGACAAGACACCTCAAAGCTCAGATCTCGACTCCTTATTTCGCTCCGCCATGCCTGTCGTATCATGCTTGTCTACTACACCTTTCTTGCCAATCTAGCCAAAGCTCAGCGGACATTCAGCTTCAGCGTCCTCCACAGCTATGTTGATTTCTGTTTGAAGTTTACTTTGGGCAGCAGCCTAGTCAAATTGGTCGCCGAGCGTCTAGAATGGTGGATGCTTGTGCCTCTCAGTCTGCTTGTGGTTTACCTGTGCTTAAGGAGGGACTATGTCGGTAGGTACCCTCTGTGCACCTCTTGCTGCTACATAGCATCATACACAACTAACACGCTCGGTAGAGGAATCACTCCTAGTGCTCCAATCTTTGGGCATTCAAACCAGCACAAGCTCGCCCTACTTCTTCGCTGGGCCGACGACGACATTCATTCCGACAACACAGATCCAAGACATAGTTATCCACGAAGCGTTCAAGGGTTTGGGAGTCAGGTTCTATCTGGCCGTCATCGTTGAAGGAGCCACTGAGGTTGTGGTAGTCTTTCCAGTATGTGACAATTCGTGCAGTTGATCTCAGGTACGAATCATTCGAAAGCTAACCATCCGAGCATAGAATCTGCTACCCAGACGCGAGATCCTCGAGGAAGTCTGGAGAGGCGCGCGGAAATGTTTGTACTCAGGCATTCGATGAAGCTTGTCCCAGGAACAGATTGCCTCAATCTGTGTTTTCGTATCCCTCGACATCGAGCCTCGCCTTCCGGCTCTTTGCCCATTTCGCGTTGACAGCCTCCAAAGAATCCATCCTCGGTCTCTGCATGATAGGCACATAGCGTCCATGACTCTTGGCCTCATTTCCACCCTGAAAAACTTTCTGGCTATGACTTGGTCCCCTTGGAGTATTGATCTGCACGCCTTTCCGCAACGCATTACCATCGCCCTGATGGATGGCCAGGTCAAGCAGGCTGCCGGCCAAGATCTCCTGCATCTGGGCCTCGTGCCATATGCTCCACAGCTCCTCGACGACGCCTCCCGGCCCGAATTTACCATCACCTTTGGTTGTCAGACCACTCCGAACATTGGCTTCGTCGCCAGCATAGAGCCAATTCAGAGAATCGACAATGTCACCATCATCGGCAGGGAATATACAGTCCCATAACACCAGCGGCGCATCATCCGCCATCTCGTACGTCGGTCTGCGGGGCGTCGTGTTGATATCGAGCATTTCATCGACAATGCTCGGTTCCTCGAGTCCCTGGCCCACAAGGAACAGAACAGCTACCATACACCGGACTTGATGCCACAGAAACGCATTTCCGTGAACGCAGAAAGTATATACCTTCGGTCCGGCCGTCGAAGACAACCCTGTCTGCCCAAACAGCGATTGTGTCAAAGACTTGCCCGCAAACTGACTCAAACCTTCTTGCTCTGAGAACGCTGTGCCAACGTCTCCAAACTCAACCACATCCGCAAACGTGATCCTCCTCTCACAGCTGGGCATCTGCTTACTCGCATCAATCTTGCACAGATGTCGAAAATCATGTAACCCCTCCAACTTCTTCGCCGCCTCCCTCATCTTGTCGATATCCAGCCACCCTTCTCTCATCTGCCTCGATTTCCCGGCTGCGAACTTCATCCCCGGCGGTCCCGGCACAGGACAGAATGCAGGATTCGTAAAGAAGTATTTATACCGTCTTTCACGGCACGAGAATCTCGCGTCAAACGTTGGCGGCGGATCAGGACACCAAGCCAACACCCTAATATCCGGCGGCAAAATAGCATTCAGAATAGACACGTATGACAACTCGTCTTTGACAGAATCCCAGGGTTTCGCATATGTGTCCTCGTCCAGATCGTCCACTTCAATGCCAGGCATATCATCGTCCGCGTCCATATTTTCGTCCACATTCGCAGTGTCCGCCAATACATGTCCATTTTGTTGTGTTTCTGTTTCCTGCTTAGGCAGAGGCCGATTACTCCGTACTCTAACCCCAACAACCTGCCCGAACGCGCTGACCCCTCTGTCGGTCCTCCCGCATTTAGAGTACTGGCACCCCTCCCAATTCAAATCCAGTCGTACTTTTCCCGGTGCATCGTCCTTAGTGTATCTCTGCATGCGCGCCCCCGCGGGCCACAGCACTTCCATCGAGCCGTCCACACCGTCTGGGATCTCGGGGCTAATGAGCCTTGATTTCCGCAGTGCTTTCCACAACACCTCCTCGATCGTCGGCATGGGCGTGACATTCCCATTCGCATGTTCGAACCCATTGTACCGACCGCCCAAATATGCGAATCTCAATGCTATATGTCGCGACGAGTAGAGAGATGGGTCAAAGGGGCGGGCCTGCCGCTTGGGGGACGGTGTGCGCGGTCGTGACGGTGCTGGTGAGGGCGTGTGTGTCGACTTCGACTTCGACGTCAGCGCCGCGAGTTGCGCATTATGTTCGCGGAGTTTCTCTTCGAGGCCCGATATGCGATTGATCAGGTCGGTTGTGCTGTACTTCGAGTAGTCTTCGTTAAGGTGCTGGCCATCGTTGGACATGGCCGTATATGGGTATGCGGCCGATTTGAGCCGGTGATGAATAGGGCTACGGACCGCGGAAGATTTGGAACGGTGGGATACGAGCCGGCTCGTGGACAATGCTCGTGGTGCTGCACGGCAGAGATGCATGAAATAAAACTATAAAGCACCAGAAAGCCATGAGATGCACTATTGTATGAACGTGAGTCTGGGGAACAATTTCTGTTACAGCAACGGCAGATCATCGGCATGTTTTGCGAGTCCGCCAATCAGAACATCTACAGCGGAGAGAGAACAGTATTGCTCGTGTGCATTGTCAGTGCCAGTGATGCCCATATTGATATCTCCAAAAGACTATGAGTTATCTCATACAAGAGTGCATCGCTCACTCGGCCTGAGATCATCCATGTTCAAGGGTCTCTCAGACCTGTCAGACCCGGAGCTCTACTCGTGAGCCTCATGAAAGTCCTCTTCTTCACCTTCGGCAGGCGTTCCCTGACCTGTCTTCACCTCCTGTGAGTCTTGAATCTCAAGCTCCTCTGCTGCGTCAGCCATTTCCTCATCCTGTTGATCGCTCTCTTTGTCTCCATCCGACTCTTCATCCTCACCAACTTCGTCTCCTTCGCCTTCGCCCTCTTCATCAGCCTCGTTGCCATCGGCTTGAGCCTTCTCGAGCTCCGTCAAAAGCTGTTTCTTCTCGTCCTCCATATCATCGAGCTCACTAAGCTCGCTGCCTGAATTGTCCTCTCCATCGGCCTCTCCATCTGCGCTGTCTTGGACACTCCCACGTCTTGAGCTTGCCTTACTACCTTCCGCACCATCTTCCTTCACGTCACCCATTCGTTTGTCAAATGGCGACTCCTCATTTGTGGCTCTTGCTGGGATCTCCACAATTGGCCTCTTTCCCAAGATTGGTGTCTTGATTGGGGGTGGTTTCACAATCGCCGCCTCGGCCTTACGTTGAATTTCACGCCTAGTGACAGTCTTCGTACGCCCAGGACGGGAGGGAGCCGACAGGAGCTCGGTTGGAGCAGGCGTGGTGGAAGGTGGTTGTGGAGAGTTCTGCAGACCAAGACCGACCGGTGCAGAGATCGAGACGGCCAATGGTCCGTCAGGAGCACCATCGCCTTGAGCTCGGAGCATGCTACTTAGCCGAGCTCGCTCGGCGTCTGCGTCTGCCCCAGCGGCAAGATCGGTTGTCATATTAATGAAAATACCTTGGGGAAAGGGAGGTGTCTGTGGCCGTGGTTGTTCTTCAGGAGGCAGCTGCTTCACGTACTCGTCGTATAGACAGGCATACGAATCACCAATGAGATCGTCAATCAGAGGCCCTTTCATCAAGCTGTTGTTGAGACGTTTCAAATCGATAGCATCTTTCATAATATCCAAGTAGACAGAGGATGTGTCAGGATCGTGTGACCATGTCTCCAATTGCTCCGATTTCTTGGTGAATTCTTCATGGTTCATGCCATCAAAGAGAGCCCTCTCACGCCCTTCAGCGATCTTGCCGAGCCGTCTGAGAGACCGTACAAAAGCTGTCACAACTTCTTCCCACACCTTGGCGTGATCAAGGAAGTCGGTTGTTTTCCTGCGAATGCGGCGGACCAACTGATCAAGGTTGGCACGATCACTCAGCTGCTCAAGCAAGTGTACAAAAAAAGCAACGTACTGGCCAGTGTACACGTAGTGACGGCCAGGACGTTCATGCTCCGGCTTCCAAACTTGCAATGTCATTGTCTTCGTAAAGATCTGCTTCGTAAATTCATGCTTCGCCCCTAAGGCCCCCGCAAGAGTGGGATCGTCGTCATAGAGCACATGTGCCGCTCGAGCCGTAATTCTGTGATGCCAGTTAGACTTGTCTGCATGCTCGAGTTTATGCAAGATTTCAAGCACGTAAGTCTCCCAGTCCGCGCCCTCTTCATCCTCAGACAAATGCACGCCGAGAGCATAACGTGTTGCTTGCATGTACTCTTGCCCCTGCGTTGGTGTTAGGGCACCAAGTTTGACCATCTTGTGGACGATGGAAACCAGCTTGAAGTGAGGTTCCAGTAACGGTTCGTTAGATTTGTCTTTCTTCAGTGGTAGAGCATGAATAGCCTCAACGATGGGATCAATGACATCTTCAGCCACAATTCGTCCACTATTTTCGGGGTGACGGAACATCTTCCACATGCACTTGGCATGGGTATAGTGCATCGTCCACGGCTTCGACTTGTCCGTGAATTTCCGGCTCAGAAGGTATGCCGCAAAATGCCATAGCGCGTATTCACTGATAGGTGTATGGTATGGCTGCTTCGACATCGTTTGATCGACTATGCTACTCAAATGCCGCATATGTTTGTCGGTCTTGAAGGCCTCCATGTTGAGAGGAGGGCGAGAAGAGGCATATAAACGAGTCGCAAACTCAGCAAACATGTCCTGAATCTTCTGTGCTGTGCCAGGAGTATCGCCTGCGGAGCGCATAGCAATTGCGGTGGACATGATGTAGCAGTGTATAGCTTGACGCTCCAGCATGGCAATCTCGCCCCTCGCGTCATTTAGCTTGGTGGAATTCCAAATGAGGTCATCTTCAATCTTCGCCTCGTACACCTGAGCAAGTCGATACCATGTCTCCCACTTGTCAATGTCGTGATCAAGGTCTAGTCGGAAGAAGCTGGCCGCGATATCCAGATCATCGGTCGGTGTTGGCGTGACGCGCTTGGCCGACTTGTATTTTGCAAGACTCATATGTCCAAGTAGGAAATACCATCCACTGATGGCAGCATCCTGTGTATCGGTGTGCACAACACGTGTTGTCAGATCCCCTATGCCTCGAATGCATCTGAAGAGGTCGTTTGCGGTGACGCTGGACTTCAAGTACGCCGAGATGATTCGCTTGTTGTACGATATAGTCGACGTGCTCTTGACTGTTCCCAAAGCTTGCTGGACCTTTTCAATGGTGCCTTTGAGCTCACTCTTGATAAGATCTTTGATGTTGGTTTTCTCCACATAGTGCATGACAGTCGGGATCAACGACCAAGCAGTCTTCTTGTCCATGTTCTCTATTGGACATGCGTGGTTCATATCTCCAATGCCAACTGCGAATCGTAGCTGGTAAAGGTCAAAAAACACCTGCGCCATGTCGGCAGAGTAGTCCTGCTCAGTCTTCAAATTTCCCAACTCAATTTTCACAAGCTTGACGAAGGACTTATTAGCATACTTGCAGTAGTGCCTGATGCCTAGTGAATGGTGAACGGTACACAGATACTCTGCCAAGTCATCGGCAGATCTGGCATACGAGGCTGGGTCTTGCACGGTAGCTTCCTTCACAAGGAAATACTGCAGCGTCCATGCTCGTACCAACATCTCCTTGAGTCTGTCTTTACTCTTATCGTATGACTTCGTGGAAGCTGCTCCCTTCAGCTGAGGAGGACTTGTCTGCCCGACTCTGATGGAGTCTTCATAGATGACAAACCCATACAGCACTTTGACAATGGCGGTAACAGTTCTCAAAGACAAATTGAGGTGCGCATCGTCCACACATTCGAATCCACGGGGCTCGTTGTTCAACTTGACAAGCACTTTGACCATAAGTTCGTCAATATCCTTGAGCCATTTGAGAATGGAGGTCTGCCGGCTACTTTCATCGAGTTCCCAATGTCGACTAGTATGTAACTCGTTGAAGCACGTCTCGATAGCCCTAAGCAGACAGGAGATCACCCTCGGCGTGTACGATATCGCTGTGTACGCATTCTGAAGACGCCTCCAAAGGAAGAGCTTGAGGGCAGCGTCACCTGACTCAAGGAACTTAATCAACTGTTCTTCCTGCATTGCAGCCTTGTCGGACATGTTCTGCTGGGGTGATTCTCCCGCTGCATCGCGTATTGTAGCTTCCAAGATAGGCTCCAGTTTCTCGATGACCGCGACAGGGTCGCTGTTGTCACTGTCGAAGACGCCCGTGAAGAAGTCAAGCGTGCTTAACCGTGAGATCTCTTGTTCGACGGCTTCTACAGAAACCACAGGCATGGTTCCATTATTGGGTAGTAGAATCGCCGAAGCGTTCATCCGTTGAAGTAGTGCTTTCAAGTCTTCCAGACACAACAATACATGGGTTTTGTCAACCTCTTCCGCCAAAGTGGCATATGTGGTTGATGCCCAGATGAAGCGTAAGATCAGAGGATCTGTCAGCTCAGGTTCTTGGTGTTGGGCGATGTACAGGTGCATGAAATCGTCCGCCAAACTAGCCCATCTCGTCAAGCGACCGCCTTGTCTGGTGCGAGACTCGTCATTCACTTCGCTGCCTGGATTCGTGATTGCTGCATAAACATCGAGGTGGATTTCGAACAGAGTTTGGACAATTGTGAATTGCCCCAAGATAGTCGAAGACGCTTCGATCAGAGTTCCTTGGCCGGAGTGGCTCAGTGATGTGAATGACTGACTAAGTCGATCGTGAAGGTAGCTATCAGTTGCCATGGCCAATCGCACAATCGTTGTCTTCATTTCTTCTGGCCATGTCTCCGTCATGTATGAAGAAGCTGACGTTGCGCTGCCGCCTGTGGTGGAAGCCATGACGGAAAAGAGCCAGTAATAAGCAGCATCGTAAATATTCGTCGGTTGAGCATTGATGTGTTTCACTGTCGATAGTAGCGCTGCCCTGTTAGAGCTTACTGAGGGCGCGCTTCCTTTGGTACTACCAACTCTGGAGTGTTGCAGAAACAATGTCATGCCGGTTGACTTTTCCACAAAATCTTGGCTGCCGTGCCCTTGAAGGAGGGCCTGACTCTTCTCGTCTGACCAATTTGTCAGGGCGTTTTTGAAGTCGTTCAGCAACGCGAGGTCTTTGCCAACGCCATTCGTCTTGTCCTGGGTAACGCTTCCCCGCCAGAATGATTGCTTCGCTTCCTCTGCCGAAAGATACAATTTTAAGTCGAATTTTGCAAGCAATGAGTTAATGTTATCGAATGTTGCTTGATCCGCTTGTTCGTAGTAGACTAATTGATCTGAGAAGACCTGCGAATCTTCATGCACGGTCTCATCCTCGTGCGCGGCAAGATCGATTAATGATTCCCTCGCCCGTAATCTCTTGCTTTTCGTACGGCCCTCCGGTTCCTCGTTGCCAGCAACCGTTGATGATCGCTTTCGTGATGCTGCGTTTGTGCCATCACGAACTGCTGGTGCAGCACTCAGAACTTCGATTGTGTTCTCATCGTCCACTCCATCAGACGCTTGACCTGCTTGTTCACCCGGCGCAACATTTTCTGATGAGTATTTCTCAGGCGAACTAACCTGGTCCGCGTGCGGATGCGCAATGCTTGGGTTTTCTGTGACTGCCACTGCCACTGCCACATCCTGCATCACTTTGTCTTCTTTAGGGGCGGTCCCCACTTCGATACCAGCGGCACTCAATGTTGCAGGAGCTGGCCGAGTATTGCCATTCGTTGCCAAAATTGGTACTTCAACCTTGATAGTGGTGGTGCTCGTAAGTTTTGTGTAACCATCTTGGATGCCTTGGATGACTTCCTCAATAGCATGTCCAAGCGAAAGATAATCGCTTGAGTTTAAAGTCGTTGCGATGACCCCTGAGCCTGAAGGTCTGGAACTGTCATCAAGGTACTCGAGCGTCTTCGTACGGTTGGGTAGGAATGGGTAAGGATCATTCGTCTTCCTGAGCGCAGCCAAAAGCTTGTCCTTAGGTTTCACGTCCGAACTTCGGAGACGACTGAGATCATCCTGTAGAACTTCGACCACTTCATCGAGCTCGCCAGCCGCAAAAGCTTCATCGAGACCTGATAGATCGATGGCTTGATCAGTATCCTCGTCGTCACCCGCAAGAACACTTTCCAAACAGAAGCGAGCCACTCTTTGCGATAACAGTACATCCGCAACCCGAGCAGCCTTTTTCCATAGATCAAGATCACTGTCATCGCGTTCAAGGGCTTTTGCAAAGTTGCGGATGCTTTCATTGCAAGATTTGGCGTAGTAGCGACATACTTCAGCCCTGGAATCTTTCTTGTTAGGAAGTTCGTGACGAGCTACGTCCAGAACAAACTGGCCCCTGTTCTTGAATGTGAGGTAGAGCAGCTGGGGAATGGAACTCGCAGAACTGTCGGCGGCACTGCTAGGGAGCAAGGGGACAGTTGGGGCATCGGTCTGTGTAGGGCCTGCGGTTTGATCGTCTTCTGTTTCGTCCTGTCCATAGTCGGAAAGTGCCTCTGGATACTTGAAAACTTCGGACTGCAACAGTTCGTGGTAGGCGTCGAGAGCCTCCTGGAAATACTCGGAGCCCTGCGAGTGGAGTTTCAAGGCATTTTGATAGAGCTTGAAGGCCTCTTCAAGTTGGATTTCCTTCGTATCATCGACCTCGTCTTCAAATGTGTCCTCTGGCTCGACATTCAGTGCCGTGAAGCCAGACATGATTTGTTACTTTTCAATACTGGATGTCCTCGTAGATCATGCCTCTCCGCGAAAACATCTCTCGACAAGTAGGGGCAGTCGAAATCATCGCGCTCTTCACGTTGAAAAGGATGATGAATCTGTCCTAAGATGTGAATGAACTACTGTTACTGTTGGGTGAAGTGTTCGTAGGGATGTTAAGTAAATGGCGACGCGCGCTAAGGAAAGAGCAATACGCGGCGAGTTTAGAATTTCTGAATTCGGTAAGCTAAGCGAATGCGCTCAGCTCTACCATGACCATTCCGCGATTGATCTGTTGACGACGCTTCTCACAAAGAGCAGACTACAAGATATATTTGGCTGAGAGGTTCCCGAACCTTCATACGATCTTCCGCTAACGTGTGCGAGGAAAACCTCCAAGTCTTTCCCCGTCACCTGGCTTCTAGGGTCTGCCAATCTGTCCTTAGTCCGCTCGAGTGTCCCCCAAGTAGGGGTGTGCAGCCATGCTTGCACCAGCGATACCAGAGTGAGCTATTGCGCACATGTCATACTCTACCCACTTCTCTAACTTGCTGCTTGTAGAATCATCGAAGACGACGACATTGGGCTTGCCATAGACGCTCGGACAGAGTCCCTACCCGCTTTGCGTGAACTCGGACCTCCCGATTTGGTGCACCTGGTCAAGCAGAGTACTAAAGCTGGCGCAAAACAGACAGGCGTATACCACCATGTTACCGGCGTCGACGCATCATCCTCCGCTAGCCTGGCAGCATATGTCAACACTTTAACATTCAACCCGGTGGACAAGACTCACAAGGTGGTTTCAGGAATATACTGCTGCTACAATGCATTTTCACATCTGGATATGCGGGTGGAAGTCAAGATCCCTGGCAGCGTGGAAAGCTACTGCGTCGACGAGAGGGGAGATAGGAGGGTTGCGACGGATAGTCTCTGGCTGGAAACATTTCTGTGCGCGGTCTTGCGTGCCTACTCTTATGCGGATGATGGCAGTGGAGACACGATCAAGAAGATCATCGGAGTCAGACGGTTCAACCCGGTTACGAGCACTGAGCAAGAACACCGCTTTTTCGAGGCAGCGGAGACACTGTTTTTCAGTGGACGTCAACTGGGTTCCGACCCAGAAATCCAAATCCCGAATGTCGTCTCGAATCATCTGACTGCTGGACTATTGAAGTACATCAAAACCACAGGACGATATGCTTCGGGCATAAATCTTTTTGAGAAGCTGCGCACAAAGGATGTCGAGGTGTCATCTCTGTTGGCTCGAGTACTATTGGAAGGCGACGAGGAAATTGAAGCTGTCCGATTACTACATGATTCGCTACAAGATGTACCCATGGACTATGCGCTTCTCGACTGCCAGGCATCTTTCTGTCAAAGTAAAGGCGAAGGTGGAATCGCCCTTGAGCTGGCCAAACAAGGGGTTACGGCAGCACCTAGCGAGTTCAGCACTTGGGCTAAATTAGCGGAAGTATATGTCGATCTTGAGCAGTGGGATTTGGCACTGCTGACACTCAACTCATGTCCCATGTTTTCGTACCAGGACAAGGATTCACCAAGGATGCCTGAACCTAGTCGCGTTCTCCTACCGATCCTGCCAGAGAGTGCGCTGGACGAGATTGACGAAGGTCAACCCAGGCAGGGAGAATCGTTTGATCAGGTGCACGTATCGTTACGAAAATTGCAGGCCGCTACCTATCAGGGAACATTTTTGAAGGCCTACAGTTTACTTACGCGAATTGTCGCGTCGATAGGATGGGACGCGCTGCTAAAAACGCGAAGTCAGGTCTTTGTCATGGAAGAGGAATATCGCTCAGAGAGACAGCATTCGGTCACGCCGAAGACGCAAACAAGCAAAAATGCAAGCACTATCGCCCTTTCAGGAACGCCGAATGGACACCCAGATGCCGAGAAAGCCGCAGAAACGGAGGAGGACGAGTCAGATGAAGAATCACCAGTGGATGATGAGAAGACCCTGGCCGAAAGCTCAACGACCGCGCCTACACTAAACGGCGGCTGCTCAAGTGAGAATGAGAATGCTGAAATAAAGGCAGAACGATCTATGGAGAAGCCAGTACCGACGATAGCTGCAGAAGAGGTCAAATCTGGTGGCGATGATGCTGATGTATCTCGCTCGCCTTACCCAGGCTTTCAAAACAAGCGGTTGTGCGAACGATGGCTCGACAATCTGTTTATGGTGTTGTACGAAGACCTCCGGATATATACAATTTGGCGGACAGAAATGGGCCAGTATCGACAACAACAAATGCAGTATAAAAAATCTGCAGCGGAGTGGGAGGTACTGGGAGACCTGGCGGAACGATTGCACCACATCAATGAAGCACTGGAGGCCTATCAACAATGTCTAAACATTCGATTCTCTCCAAAAGCGATGAGAGGCATCCTCCGCATGTATGAGAAGAAAGGCGACACGAGGAACATATTGGCCTGCTTGATCCGACTAATCACCTGGCAATACAGATGGTACTCAGAGGTAAGTTGCAACAGTAAGAAGCAACAAGCGGCTAGATACTAACCAGTGCCAGTTCTCGCCTGAACTGTTTTACTCGATACGAAAACTAATCGAAGAGGAAGGTGCTGTCAAAGTCCGCAGCATTGTGCAGTCCACGAATCTCCCTCAGCCAGTCCTTGACCTGACTCACGAATACTGCCAGGTCTGTGTGGCGTTCAGAAGCAATGGAACAGATGCATAAGAGATACCGATCATCACTTGCAGGGAGCAAAATAATTCGGAAAGGGTGGATTCCAGTCATTCTACGAGCTGGCTTTCGAGCGTCGGCGTTCTACTATGGAATGAGCGTAGACATACCCTGAACAGTACTTCCAAAAAGGAGTCTCGCACAGTGAAGCGTCCATATTCTCGAAACAGGCCTATATTCGCTTCATGTAGTGGATGACTGCTCGTCGGTTGCACATGGCATTGCGCTGACGATTGAGCCGTGCGCCGTAGCCAAGCTACGGTGGAGGCTGCCAAGGATATGGCATTTTGATACTGTAGAGCCTCGACGTCAATCCAGTGGTACTCGAGGCAAGCCACTCTTCACTACCTTTCTTGTATTCATCTTTGTTTCACTCTTATCTGAATTGAATGCCTTGGCTTACCATATAAAGATTATCCAACTAGGCAGTAGCATAGGCAGCTGTTTTGACAGATATCATTACAACCTCGTTTGCCTGGCGGGCCGGTCAGGTAAATCTATTTCAATACAGGCCATTTTCAGAGTGAAGGACGCAGTCACTACAGTATCGATCAACATGGCGAGTCAGAAGCGAATAACAAAGGTTTGTCGCGGCCCTTGCGCAAGAAGCTCGGATTTCTGACGGTCTACCAGGAGTTGGGAGAGTTGATGACATCTCCGCCGGCAGGAATAACAGTCAGTCTGGCGGATGAGTCAAACCTCTTTCAGTGGAAGGTCACCATGGAAGGACCGTCCGGATCACCATATGCTGTATGTACCCTATCTTCTTCATGTCCTTTGATGAATGCAAGACTCTTTGAGCATGGCCAGACACGCACGTCGCGCGATCGCCCGAGCATTCGCCACACGACTCACTGAACATGCTTCTTGACTTCTGGGCAGAACGAGAAACTGATTGTGCGACACATTGTAACAGGGCGGAACATTCAACCTCTCACTGACACTACCACCCAACTATCCTTTCAAGCCTCCCACCGTCACATTCACCACGAAGATCTACCACCCAAACATCTCGAACGACTCCCCACCGAACTCAGGCACTATGTGTCTAGGCATGCTGAAGGACTCCGAGTGGAAGCCTAGCACCAAGATGAATGCCGTGCTGGAGTTCACGAGACAATTGTTGGAAGGTATGTCATGGTTGTAATCTGCCACAGGCCAAAGATCCTTCTCCTTGACCCGGTTCTATCTTCACCTTGACTAACACCGCCACATAGAACCGAACCCCGATGACGCGGTCGAGGCAAAGATCGCAGAACAATACCGTAACGACCGTGCAGGGTATGAGAAAGAGGCTAGAGATTGGGTCAAGCGTTATGCCAGCGGAAAGAAATGATGCGTATGAGACATGGTTTCACGATCCCGCCACAACGTCTTCGACGCTGATGTCCAGAAGGTCGGATGTCGATCATGACACAGCAAGGACGAATGAAAGTCTTGCCGGAAGGACATCACGGTGCCCGAACGTGCATCGCACGATATCACGGATCTTGAATGAATTTGTGCCGTCCGAGGCTATGGTCAGGTTCACGCCATGAAGGGCCAAGAATCTAGAAAACCATGCAGATATCCGGAGATTGGGGTGTCAGGTCGGATTCAAATTGAAGACAGTTCAGCAATGTGAAATATGTTTATCATTGCAAGTCCATGCGATTGCGGTAGCCACAGAAGCTGACGAGCTTGATTGGGCCTTGCAGGACCCTTCTATCTCGTGCCTCGTTCTTTCATCCCATCCGGGGAAACTTGGCCTCGTCCAAAGTTTGATCTTCGAAAGAATGCAGAGTTCCTCGCAGGCACAGCGACTCGTCGAATCGCAGCTGGACCTCTGTTGGGTCGAGCTATCTATGGCTTTTTCAACGTTAATAGCTTGCGACCCGAATAGGGTGGGTTTTCACATTGACGAAACCTGGTCAATGGCCAACAATTGTTAGATCCATCCAGCATCGGATGCGTGGTCACAAGTCCTGGTCCCCCACTTTGTCTTTCTCCGCCAGGAAGCAGTGCCTATAACAGTGCTCGGCTGGTTTCAATGCCTCAATCATCCATGTCTTCATCCTCTTCGTCCTGGTCTGCCTCTCCGTTGCCTGTGGCGTCCACATCATCGGCATCGTCCAGATCGTCCCAAGCGTCTAGGTCATCACTATCATACTCTACCTCGTCATCATCCTCTTCCTCTTCACCATCCTGGCCTGCGTTGGCTTTCGTATTCTTCTTCAGCTGCTTTTTCCGCTCGACATTCGCCTTTTGCTCTTGTTTCCTTGCTTCTTTCTCCTTGCGTCTCTGGTCCCATTTCTGTTCCAGCTCTTTCTCTTCGGCCTTGGTCTTTGTCACAAACTCATTCCACATCACACGGCCTTCACAAACGCCTTCCTCAACTTTTACAAGACGCATCCGCATGCGTGGCCCGAGCTCTACGAGTTTGACCGCGCGCTTTTCAACATTGGAGCTTTCGTCTGTTTCTTTTTTGCTCCCTTTCTCGCCATCCTGTTGTCTTTGCTGGTCCCGTCTGCTCAAGACTCTTTGTGTTGTGGTTTGTGTCACCTCGACTTCCGCATCGGTGTCAAGTTCTGTCTCGCTTGCGGAAGTATAGCCTCCTGCAGCGGGATCTAGGATGTAGTCGGCCACATCATCGAGTTTGCCTAGGTTGGGGAGTGCGCCCGTCTTCTTCTCTCGATGTCGCTGCTCGCTCGGGTCGAATCTGCGGACTCTTTTTGAGACGCCTGTTCGGCGCGTAGTGATAGCGTAATGGCGCAGGCTGACGATATAGGTACCGTCCGCTTGCGTTTCGCGGTTGAGAAGCAGGATCCGTTTTATTGAGTTGAGTGTTGTTGTCTGGGGATTTATGGGAGGAAACATTGACTGGAAGACCGTGGTGGTCAACGACTCAAGTTGCTTCTTGATAGGGTCTGCATTCGCATCGCCCGAGTTTTGCGTCACAAAGTTGTTCATGACAAGCAACGGCGCGTTCAGGTACTCGTTTCCTCCTCCTCGCGGATGTTTTTGGGCCTTCGCTATATCCTTGCATAAAGCGTATCGTTCGAGTCTGAATGTGAGTGTCGGTCCTCGAGGGGCCAGTGCGACTCGAAGGTGTACATTTCCGGTCTTTGAGCGGGAGAACAGGAAGAGGTGCGTTACACCTAGAGGGCCTGCCATCGCAGTGTAGTCTTTCAACTTGTTGGCCCGTCGTTCCTGTGGAGGATTAGTCATAGGGGACATGACATTTTTCTCCCTTGCCATACCTTCAGTCTGCTCGCAGTATCTGGTTCCATTACTGTCCGAAAATCTCTGGCCAGTTGTGTTACGCTGGGGCCAATGTCGCCAGCGCCCATTCGAATTACCATGCTCTTCGGGCGGCGGTTGCCCTGCCCAGGTTTCCCAGGATCATCATCACTACGGACGTGCGTCCTCTTCTTCTTCCTCGCCTTCGCCATTGCTTTGCAGAGAGGGGTGGAGATAGTTATGCAGAGGAAGGCTGCCAGAAAGATTTCCAAAGATTCAAACCTGCGGAGTTGCGACAAAGGCAATAATTTTTCTTATCGATAAGAGATTGCTACGGTGAAGCATTTGAGTCCTCACGGGGCAAGCCCCCACACTTGGCCCCCCCATTCTTCCGCCATGGCAGCGGCTAATAGGGCCTATCTTACTGAGGCAAGAAAACATCTTCCTTCTTCCCTGAACGTTTACCGCCTCCCAATATATTCAAAAAAAATTCATTACCCTTCCATGTTTTCAATGGTTTTGATGATCCAGAGTTGAGCTCGATCAGTCGTTTGCCTTTCTAGTGGCTTTTCCCCCGATATATATGCTATCATGAGGAGATTTGCACATACCCGCGTTGTGCCTTGATATCGCCGGACTGATAGTCCGATCATCAGCCTCAGAGTCTGTCCAAAATGAGCGTGCCGCCATCACAAAATCCGCCTTTCAGCATCCCTTGGCCTCAAGGCCAGCTCGAACTACGCTTTGATGCTGGCGTAGAAGCCGCGGTTCCCGATGTTTCGAGTTCTACATCATTAGCCTTGGCACCGAGGGGCGGAACCAAGCACACCTCGCAGGCATGCACGTCTTGCCGAAAGAGGAGACGTAAGGTACGTAAGCCACGAGTCTATCTAACACGGCGAGCGCTCATATCGGTATAGTGCGATGGCGATCAAGGCAGGGGCAAGTGCTCAGAATGCATCAAGCACAATTTTGATTGTGTTTTGGACGCAAACACCGACAGGAGGCGAAAGATGCATCGAGAAAAGGCACGGAAAGACCAACAGCTCTTACATCGAGTACTCAGCACGCTCCGACAGCGTCCGGACGGCAAAGCTGAAGCATTGATGAACCTGATCCGCGAGAACGCGCCATTATCCTCCATCGAAGCACACCTCGGGGCGCCTATCTCAAGCGGAGAAGAGACTTCAGCTGGCCCATTTGGTCGTAAGGGCTCAGATCAAGATGATTCGGGGTCCAATTCGCCGCTGGAACGGCCTGAGGGAAACCAGCGGCCTCAGATGGCAACCCCCTGGACATCGAGTTCGCAGGTCCCGTCATTGAACACTCTCCCCAATCCCCACAGTAGCCTGCCCTATGGCTCTGGTCGGCGCGGTGAACCCAATCAAATGACGCGACTTCCATTCGTCCGAACACGGCTTCCAGGTCCCCAGCACCTGGCATTCTTGAGTGTGGACGCCGCTGCCCTCGCGAGCTCTTCCCAACAGCCAGCATATAGTGGTGGACCACCAGGTCAGGACAACTACGTCAATCCTGGGGCTGTGAGGACTTTTGGCAATCTACCGATGTCGAGTGCGATATTGGCCAACGGCTGGAACCGAAATGTCCAACAGCAACAGTTGGATCTTGTTCGTAAGCCTCAATATGCTTGCGAACTATTGCTGCTGGACGACCAAATCAAAGGCGATCCTCTGTCGCAGGCCGCGCTGAGTTTCAGAGATGATGCTCGGTCACTCATAGCGCAAGGGCATTCTGTCAGGACGATCCTCAGCATGGACGGTCTACATACTGAAGTGTTCTTCCGCGATCGACTACCGGTAGACGCACATACCGTGTCGAACTGGGCGTGCGAGTTTACCAAAGCCTGGAGAGGCCTTCTGCCGGCAAATTGTCTCTATGCGAGCATCTGGATGATCGGCAGTATCATGCGGTGGATGATCTTGCCATGCCAAGACACTTGGAAGCTCATGCCAGAGATGATCAGACCTTTGGTAGATCAATTCGCGATTCCGCACCAGAAACTTTTCGTTGACCTATGTCATTTCCCACAGATCCGGTCGTCACTTCTGAACTACAACCGAGACTTCATCAAAGTACTGAGATACGAGACTTTCAATTGCAACTGGCCTTATGCAGATGAAGCTTGTGTGCAGGGGATTGACGGCGCCGGCCTGGATGTGAAGAGTGAATTCACACCTTTATTTCTCGCTCATATTAGCGAGACAAGAAATTGGTCGTTGCATAAGGACATCTTGACCGAGTTTCCTGAATTGGCAAATCAGGTGGCGTTCCATGAGTAAGGGAAGCTCTGCATACGAACGTCAAGTGTGAAGACATCTTCAATACAACCTGCCAACACAGCATGGTCGGTAGTGCATCTTGGTTGAAATGTTGTCGATCTCCTGTTTCACACCTGTCACAACGTTCGCAGTCGCGTGGAGGCGTCACATTCTGCAGTCAGGAAGGCTCGCAGCGTCCGACTATGAGAAATAACCGCTTTCCAGCCACGGGACCATCTAGTCGCTACACACTACCCCACAACCTCAATTTGAGGGCGCAAGTGGCGTCTCAATCTGCAAGTACGACACTCCTTGCGATATGGGCGTCCAGATCTCGTACCAACAGCTCGTCGCCTCTGCCCCAGCTGTGCTGGGTACTCCTGGCAACATACGACGAATCTTATCCCATTATTGTACATTATCTCTTGGCCATGGCGTATATAGTCGATCTCTGTGAAAGTCCCAGATGGCACAATATATCAAAGAAAATATTACGTTGGAAATCTTTGGCATAGCGTCTTTCTCAGCATGGCCATCGCGTTCACCACTGTTGTTTATCTTATGGGTTTTTTGATGTGGCCTACAACAATTAACCATGATGTCTTGCAACCACCAATCAAATTTCGTTGCATCGACTCAGCCTCAGCCAGTAAGTACGGCGGACAGCCTTCTCCGGGCACGCCGCATATCAAGGTCCCAATTACACGCGGAGGGCAGTGTCACCTATCTGATGTGGCCGTGCAAGCCACCAAGGTCATATCAAAAGCAGAATCAAACAGTCGCTCGATCACGGTGCCAGTAATGATTCAGTGTTTGAACCACGATTCACTTTGATTGAAAGGGTCAATCAACAAGATGACGGCAATGAGTCACTGCACAAACGACGGTATTGTTCACCATAGTATAAGTACCCTCCTATCGCAACTTCCTTTGAGACAACTCTCTTTCATGTCGCAGACAATCGACCGCTCCGTTCAACATCGCAAACACCCCGACCCTTTAAGTAGGTAGTCGGCAGCATCAGATCAACTTCCTTCCTACCCATCTGTCAAAGAGTTCTCTGCACGATCAGTCATCTCTGATTCATCTACCGAACAACCTGAAGCTCTCTCCCCTTGTTTGGGGCATACGGCGGCAGCACCAGGTCAACTTTTCTCCAACAGACCTCCTGAAAATACCCCTGCTAGAGGATTTCCTCCTCCCATTTACCAAAGACACGAACCTATTTCTATTGCCAAAATGTCATCCCACACCGATGTATTCGAAGATACCATGGCAGACACCACGCCAACCCACCGCGACCTACGCTCCCAGAAGCATACTCTTAACCGCGAAGCCAAAAAGTCCGCAAAGTACTACCGCTATCGCGCAGTGGACCCGAACTGGATCGGTCAACAATACTACGACCTGCACCCAGAAGTTTGGAACACCATTGATGGTGTGGAACACGTCTTCTGGCCAATGCGAGACCCGCTGCTCAGCAGGCCTGAGGACTTGATTGTGTCGACATGGACGAAAAGAGATATGTGGTATGATAGAGAGAGAGGCATTCGGGCTGTTCGGTGGCGCGTTGGCAGGCGGTCTCGGGACAAACACTGCCAAGCGTACATTCAGAAGAAGCTGCAGCGCGATCCGAAGACGAGGAGCAGGGCGTCTGAGTTTGCTCGTGAAGGGGCAGACGTCGAAAGCGTGGATACCTGTCACTCTGCATCTTCAAACGTCTCTATCTCTTCGGATGATGGGCTTGACCAGGGTTGGGATGATGACTACATGGTTGACTGGGATGGCAACAGGATCTTCTGTCATATCAAAGATATCGGGTGTGAGACTGCGACTGCCGACTTGGATGGGGAGGTTGCATTGTCGTTCGTTGGTGACGGAGCACTCGAATTGACAGGCGACATGGAGGAAGACGCTGGGTTCAGCATCATTTCAGAGCGTGACTTTGATGTTATGTCTTTGTCCTCTCACGGTGACGAGGTTGACTTTGGACTCATCTGGAATGAAGACGGTGAGCTTCAAATGTAGTATCACCAGGACGATGAGATTAGCTAGTTTCGGTCCTCATAACTCAGCATCTTGGCCTGACCTACCATCATACTGTCTGCGCACATTTACATCCGTTTCCCCAACTGTTTGCTTCTGTGTGAATACAATTGCCCGTCAAGAGATCCATCGGTCATAGAATTCCTGCCGTGGAGAGTGACGGGACAAGATGCTGCGGGATTTCCCTGGTAGACTTCTGTCTGGACGGGAGCAAAGATTCCACTCTTTTCCGATTTGAACGGAGCTGAGCTTTGGAGCTCGGTACTTTTCAGCTTGTACCTTTTCGCGCCATAAACTTTGTCGATGTCGACGGGAAACCCGAGAAAAGCTTCCCCGCGGGGAAGCCAGAAGGGGAATGACGCTTCACAAGCTTTTCATTGGGCGGAGCGGTTTATCATTGCTTGTATCCAGGCTAAAGGAACTTTGAGAGCCCGGTCTCCCACATGGTTCGCGCCATGAGTACCTTACTGGAAGCGTTCCATAACGAGGAATCGAGAGGCGCAAGAAGAAAAGCTGCATGATCGGCTTCAATGTTTGAGCTGCGGCCCGGATGCACGTCCGGAGGTATTGCCTGTTTTGTCGCGGATGCTTGACAATATGTGAAATTTGGTCAAATATGTTGCCATGCGCTGCGGCAACAGTCGAAGTAAGTGTATGCAAGACGAGGAATACGGAGTGGTGTCTGCCAACGATTAACGTATTTGACCACCTCCTGGTTTTTGACCACCTCGTGGGGGTAATCGTGACACTTTTTACGTACACTACCACTTCTTAATTATATAGTAAACCAAGTAAATCCCAGTCATTCTCGTCCACGGCGCAGTCCCAGGATAGCGACGCAGGTACTATTTGCCTATAGCTAGTATAAGAAGGTACCTATGATAGTATTATGGGACTATACTATCACTAGGTTAATAACTAACTCGCATAATCGATAGTAACTTACGTATTAGTAAGTATAGGAAAGACCTCTTAAGAGAGACTTAACGACCGAGAAAGCCGTACTTAAGGCTATCCTCGATCGTTTAGTAAAGATTTGTCAGGAATGCGAGGAAGGACAATGCATAGTGGAATGTATGCCTAGCTATCTATCTAGGTATCGGAAGGACAGCGAGAGTCGAGCGTTGGAGAAGGAAAGACTCCTGAATCCCAACGGAGCTCGCAGCTATGGAAATCTCTGTCAATGGCGCCTTGGCGCCTGCCCCATGCATCGGTCTCCGCACGTGACTCGCACGTGACCTGCTCTGTACTCTGTTAGGTAGGATTCCTAACAAGATTATAAAGATATAATAAATCTCGCTATTATTAATAAGCTTAGTATTATATTACTATAGCCTTATAAGTTCTCTTTACTTAACGAGGCTTCGTAGTAATAGTACTCGATAATGAGTCCTATATAGCTATTTCTAGTATATTCTCGTTATCGTCGTATATTATAATCTCTTTATTTTACTATCGCTTACTTTTAGGGGTAAACTTAAGGTAGTA